CAGGAACGCTTAAGTTTTTCCAGAAAGGCAGCCAACACATGTTTAATGAGTAACAGGAGCATGGGTACAGCAACAGGAAACGTGCTCCTCTTCCCCCTGAGACCTTCCCGAGCCCTCTCTGGGCTCTGGGGCTGATTTTCTGGGTTACAATGGATAGAACAGGCAGCAAAATCATGCATATATGGTTTTGATTATTAGGCTTGATTGCCCCGGCAGCACACACTGAGGCTTCACTTGTCCTTCCAAGGGGAGCTTCATGACTCAAAGCCTCAGAAATCATCTTGTAATCGACTGCTGGCCATGCTCCTGCCTCTCAACAGCTCCACACCATGACACACAGGATGAGCAAAACACTTCAGCATTGCGTGTACAGCTCAACCCAATGAAATGAGAAGGGACAAAACCCATTCTATTCTATTCATCAGACTGAATTATCAGTCCCTTCCAGCACTTTGGGTTTCAGTTATTTTGCCTGAGGCTCATCTGGAAACAAACCATTGCTCCCAAGCCCCTCAGCAGGCTCTCCAGAGGTTATCCCACAGCAAAAAAGGGCTTAAGGCAACTCACTTGAGGCTGCCACAACCATAACCTTGGTGCCTGGACCAGCCCCCCCACTGTCATATTGGCTAAACCCCCTACTCAGCCTGGTGATGGCAGATAACACCCTATCCAGTCAGTTCTCCCTCCTTCAGCAAACACATCTGTGACTGCACTGCGAACAGGCTGTGCTTAGGTAGCTAAAGGGGCAGAGGGGAAAATGTGCTTCTGGTACCTCAGCATTTATGCTTTGTATACCAGGAGGGTTTTTTGATGGGATTATTGGGTTTAGTGCAGATGCTTTATGGACCAGGTGATCTTGGTGGTCCATCCCAAGAAGGGATGTTCTATGATCAGCCAAATCCCCATTCATCAAGTTGAGAGGAAGCAAAACCCCGGAGCTCTGTCTACAATGTTGGACTCTCACACTAGTGTACACGTAGCAGCAGGAGTGAGAACTAAACCTAAACCCCAACAACTCTTTCCCTCAAGATGCTTGCAACAAATAGAGGCTCCTGCAGCTGGCCAGGAAGCACCAACAAAAAGTCTTAGGTATCAGTGTTTTATGAACCCAAGCTCAAGTCTGATTTCTCTCCATCACATCCAAATACACTACACCAAAAAAATCACTGATTTGTTTAAAATCCCTCTTTTTTAAAGCAGCATTTTCTCTTTTGGCCCTCATAGTAACATTGCTCATATTTGCTGTATCACTGTAATTTGGAAACTTACAGGTAGTTTGAATCATTTCCAGGACTTTATCAGGTTTTAGACCCCTGTTATACATTTGCAATAATAAATTACAAAGGATTTGGAAGAAATAGATGGCACATGCTTTGCTATGCCCTGTGAAAGGCAGAAATTACCTTTTGCTGTCCTGTAGTAGAGAACACCATTTGAATAAAGCATCACACAGACAGATCCCTGTAGCAAGGGCACTGCAGGGCAGCAGATGCCATTTTTTCCACCTCTTCCATCAATTCTACGTGCTGTTTGTTTCACCTAATTCCTTAGCTGCTTATTACTTTACATTCATTACCTACTATTATATCACCATGAGAATCACTTTGCAGGGCACATCATACCTTCGGTCTGGCTCGTATTCACGAGCCCCAGTGAGCCCAGCATTTGAGCTGCTGCTTATACTTCACATGTAATTTCACACTACAGAATCACAGCATGGTTTGTGTTGGAGGGGACCTTAAAGCTCATCCAGTTCCAACCCCTGCCACGGGCAGGGACCCCTTCCACTGGAGCAGCTTGCTCCAAGCCCCTGTGTCCAACCTGGCCTTGAACACTGCCAGGGATGGGGCAGCCACAGCTTCTCTGGGCACCCTGTGCCAGCGCCTCAGCACCCTCACAGGGAAGAGCTTCTGCCTAAGAGCTCAGCTCAGTCTCCCCTCTGGCAGGTTCAAGCCATTCCCCTTGGCCTGTCCCTACAGGCCCTTGTCCCAAGCCCCTCTCCAGGTTTCCTGCAGCCCCTTTAGGCACTGGAGCTGCTCTAAGGTCTCCCCTTCAGGACCCTTCTCCAGGCTGAACCAACCCAGCTCTCCTGGCCTGGCTCCAGAGCAGAACTGCTCCAGCCCCCTGAGCATCTTCTATTACCCAGACACAGGACACACCATGCTCTGCATTCATTCAGTCCCACCTAAACCTCTCCCAGTCACCAGGTTCCAGCATCTTGCCCCAGAGCCTGCACAGAATGAAGCCTGTGCTGTTTTCTGTTGCATGGGATTTGTGTACTTAAACAGAAAGAGGAAACCAGAAACCTCAGAGGAAGTTTATTATGACAGAGGTTAGGTGGAACAAGGGCATCTGACCACAGAACTCCAATTAATTTCCCATCATTCAAGGCCTCAGTGCAATAATCACACCTGTTACAAAAAGCCTTCTGTTCCTCTTCAAATTAGACCACAGAAATAATCCAAATAAGGGAAGAAAGCCTCTGAGCCATCCTTGCATATGCCTGCAAACAAGGCCAGGTTGGATGGGGCTTGGAGCAAGCTGCTCTAGTGGAAGGTGCCCCTGCCCATGGAAGGTTGGAACTGGATGAGCTTTAAGGTCCCTTCCAGTGCAAATCATTCTGTGAGGCTATGAATATGAATAAAAAGAAGCAAAATGTATCAAAACCCCTTTCACTGCCTGACTGCTCTTGTTATCCAAACTAAATCTCTGCTGTGTTTGGTCTCGTCAGGAAATACGAGTGGGGATAAAGGGAAAATTTAACACATGAGGGTTTTAAGTAGGGAAACAACCAGCAAGGACACAAACTTCACAGAGTGCTGTGGCTTCTCTGTCTGCACAGTTCTTCCACACAACATTTATAGACCAAAGACAAGCTTCAAACCTGCAAAGCACGACACTGGCATTCCCGGTGCTGTACAGTCATTCCAGATACATCCTTCTAAAGCCTGAACACATGCACATAGCCTAAGTGATAAACATCTGCAAAAGTCTGCTTTCTGTCTTCCCAACTCCCAGCTAAAACATTCCACAGGCCTGCAAACCCAGAGCCTTCCTTTGGTGACCTGCACCAGGGAACGCTCCAGCCTTTATAAAGCAGCAGAGGAAGCACCAATGGCTGCAACGAAGAAGTTGGCAGCTTTAAAGCAGTTACCTTTCAGCTACAGAGTCAGTGGGGGCTGAACACACACCTGGGCTCCATGAATAAAGAGTACCAAACACTGAGCACAGAACAGAAGATAAAAGTGATCTGATCAGATGACTTTTTAATCACTGTTAACAGATACCTGAAACACAAGTTGGGGCATTTGCAGAGGAGCCACCCTCACCTCTGAAGTCTTGTAGCTACTTAAAGCTGGCCAACTGACCCTGAGCATAGAGCTATGGCTCTTCACATATGTGGATACTGAAACAGAAAAGATGCCAGGTGCTTCTCTTACGGAGCCAGGCTGAGGGAGCTGGGATTGTTTAGCCTTGAGAAGGCTCCTTAAAGTGAGACCTTAGAGCAGCTCAGGCACCCGAAGGGGCTTGGGACAAGGGCCTGTAGGGACAGGACAGGGGGAATGGCTTGAACCTGCCAGAGGGGAGACTGAGCTGAGCTCTTAGGCAGAAGCTCTTCCCTGTGAGGGTGCTGAGGCGCTGGCACAGGGTGCCCAGAGAAGCTGTGGCTGCCCCATCCCTGGCAGTGTTCAAGGCCAGGTTGGACACAGGGGCTTGGAGCAAGCTGCTCTAGTGGAAGGTGTCCCTGCCCGTGGCAGGGGGTGGTACTGGATGGGCTTTAAGTTCCCTTCCAACCCAAACCACACTGATTATGTGCCTGCTTCACAAGGGCTCTGTAGTGTATTATCATCCTAATCTCTGCAGATGCATGAGGGCAAAAGTCCAGGCACTTCATCCCACGGGCACATTTCCTCCTGGCATCGCACATTCTCTCCTCTCCATGTCGTTCTGTGAGGACTGAATGCTCCCCGTTAGAGCTGCTCGGTACCACAGCCCCCCCACACGTGCAGGCACCCGTCACTCTCAGCACCCACGGTCGGACCCACCGGGTCAAACAGGGGCAGGGCTGTGAGGGGCCAGGAGCCGCAGGCGCAAGGGAGGCCGCGGCGGGGAAGGCAAGGTCACGTCCTTCCCGCCCGCACCCGAGCGGGCCCGAGCGCTCCGACACCCCGGAACCGGACGGCTGAGTGCCGCTGCCGAGCCCCGCCGCTCCTCCGGGCTGCGGCCACTGCTCACCGGCACTGCCGAGCCCCGGGCCGGCTGGAGCGGCGGCACCAGGCCAGGCCCCGGCCACCCGCACCCCCGGCGTGCAGTGCGCCGGGTACCACTCGGCCCGGCCCGCCTCCAACCCCGCAGGCCTGCACCCGGTAGGCGGCCCCCGGCGGACTACCAGGACCGGCATGCCTTGCGGGCGGGGCGCCCCTCCACCCCACGTACTTGTGCCGCAAGGCACGCCGGGACTCGTAGTACACACGGCTTCCCGGCACCAAACCCCCACCCCTCCAGGTAGCGTATTGGCTCTCGCGGCCGCCCCTCAAAGCCCAACAGCCAATCACAGCCCACATGTGCGGAGTCATTCAGAGCAGACCGAGCCACGATTAGAGGACGCGCCTCATGTCCCCCCCGCCCGGCGCTGCTCCCGCGGCCAGGCCCAGCCCAGCCTGTCCTGTGAGGCGGGCGGCCAGGCCTCATCGCCCGGAGGGCTTCCCCAAAGCTGCGCGCCTCCCGCCTCACCTGCGCTGCCACGGCGACGCCCGCTCGGTGACACGCCCGCAGCATGGCCTCGGAGCCGGCGGCGGCCGGGGCGGGCAGCAGGAAGGCGCTGAGCGCGGTGACTGGCAGCTCCTCCCGCCTCCAGCCCCCCCCCCCGCGCACCGCGAGGTCCAGGCTTCCGGTGCGGCGGGGGCGTGACCGCGCGTAGCGGAGATTGACGTGAGGCGTGTCCAATCAGAGCGGAGGGAGCGGGCCGTGTGCAAATGTCACTGCCGTAGCGCGGGGACATGGCGGTGGTGGTGGCGGCGGCGCGCGGGGCAGTGGCGGGTCGGTGCTGAGGGGAGGCGGGCGGCCATGTTGGGTCGGGAGGGGGGCTGTGGAATGGCGGTATCGCCATCGCGGGGTGTTCGCTGAGGGTGTGTGTTCTCCGCAGGGATCCTGGGGCGCTGGGCACCCCTGGCCGCCCGTAGCACCGGCCTCGTCGCTCGCTGCTGCGTCAGGCAGCTGCGGGCACCGGCGGCGGCCCCGCTGTGGAGACCACAGCCGCTGCTGTGGGGAAGCGTGCCTGGGGGAGGCACCGCATCGGTGCTCAGCAGGTATGGGCCGTGCGGGATCGGGGAGAAGGGCTTCGGAGGGGGCTTGTGGTAACTGCTGGGTCTGACAGGCTGCTTGGGGTGGTGTCTGCCATAACGGGACTGTTAGACCGAGGTCTCCCGCTTCTGCTGCGAACAGCGATTGACGCAGGATGTGAACGGAATAGGGTTTGCAGATGTAGGCTTTGTAGATAGCCCTGATATAATCGGCACTGATTGTTTCGCTGATGATTCATAGAATGAGTAAGGTTGGAAAGGACCTTAAGATCATCCAGTTCCAACCCCCTGCCATGGGCAGGGACACCTTGCACTAAATCATGTCACCCAAAGCTCTGTCCAACTTGGCCTTGAACACCACCAGGGATGGAGCATTCACAACTTCCTGGGGCAACCCCTTCCAGTGCCTCATCACCGTCACAGTAAAGAATTTCCTCCTTATATGTAACCTAAACTTCCCCTGTTTAATTCTCGAAGAATGCCAGTAGCAGCAGAATGTTTGCTCTCGAGCATCTCACCCCTTTCGGTAGATGAAAAAAGCTTTCCAGCATGAAATAATAACTTAAGAAATGAATTTTAACACGAGTTAAATGCTTCTTCAGTTCTGTACTTCATGTTAGGTGAGCTCTTGTGAACCTTCAGACTAGTCACAGCCATTTCTCATTGCATGAGAGAGACAGTGATTGCTTTTGGAAGAAGTTATTTCACTCCTATTTTCTTCCGGTTCTGGGGGTGTTTTTAGCGTCACATCTCTCCTTCCAAATATCCTGCATCAGCCAGCGAGGACTGTCACCTATGTCAGCAGAAAGCGTGGGAAGAGGAAGACGGTGAAAGCTGTCGTTGCTCGGTTCCTCCGGCTGCACAATGGCCTTTGGGTTAGGAGACAGGTAAGGCTTTGGTAATACAAGTGTGTTCTTTGTACAAGGGCGTGGAGTGATGGGACAAAAGGAATGGCTTTAACTGACAGAGGGGAGATTTGGATTGGATGTTAGAAAGGAATTCTTTCCTGTGATGGTGCTGGCATCACAGGGAAGCTGTGGCTGCCCCATCCCTGGCAGTGTTCAAGGCCAGGTTGGACACAGGGGCTTGGAGCAAGCTGCTCTAGTGAAAGGTGTCCCTGCCTGTGGCAGGGGTTGGAACTGGATCAGCTTTAAGGTCCCTTCCAACCCAAACCCTTCTGGGATTCTAAGATTATTTACAGTCAGTGGGCTGATTGTTTTCCTTCCATTAGAGGGCAGTAGCTAGTGTGTAAACAGGCGAAGTTTAAACTGGATGTAAGAAGTTCTTTACTGTGAGGGTGGTGAGGCACTGGAATGGGTTGCCCAGGGAAGTTGTGAATGCGCCATCCCTGGCTGTGTTCAAGGACAGGTTGGACAGAGCCTTGGCTAGCATGGTTTAGCGTGAGGTGTCCATGCCCATGGCAGGGGGGTTGGAACTGGATGATCTTAAGGTCCTTTCCAGGCATATTTCTGAAAGAGGGGAATTTCCTTGCTTTGGTTATCAGTACATCTGTGTGTGTGTGTTTGTAATTGAAACTGAAAATTCTTGCATGTTTTCTTCTGCCAGGCTGGTTATAAGAAGAAACTGTGGAAGAAGTCAGCTTCCCAAAGGAAGCGTTTGAGAGACTTCTTGTTGTGCACTAAAACACAGTGTAAACTCCTCGATAAAATGACCACTTCCTTCTGGAAAAGAAGGAATTGGTATGTGGATGATCCCTACCAGAAGTATCATGACCGCACGAATCTTCGTTCATAGGAATCTTGGATTCACTTTGGTGTCTGTCTAGGAAAGGAAGTGATGCTTGTGGTATGGTCTTAATTTTTGACATATGCATGTCACATCATCAGACCTGTGGGTATGAACACCCCGAATAAAGGAATATTCAGGATTTATCTTCCAATGCACTTTGTGTTTTACTTAGTAGAGGTCAAGCTGGCCGCCTGCATGTTATGATGGCTGCTGTTCTCCTGTGGTTGTGTGTAACATGGATGAATACAGTCTAAAACAGCACTAAAAGTGAATAAACCAACATATTTAATCTCAAATCTTTTAAGAGAAACGTTTAAATAACCCCAGGGCATATTTTGCTGTGTCCATACTTGTTAGTAGCTTGTTGAATGGAGTCTCCTTGGGAAGGGGCAAAAGGAGAGCAGGGTCCCACTCGGTATTGTCGCTGTCATGGTACCAGGTAAACTGTTGCCAGGCCTCTGTTAAATAGCACAGCAAAACCCTAGTGTGGTGGCTATGTGCAGTTTTAATGACTGATTAAAAAAATGCATTATCCACTAAATTTCATTAGAGGACTGACACTTTGTATCGTGTATTGTGTTTTGAGTAGGGTAATACACGCTGTGGGTCCTACACTGTATTGTCACGCAGTTAGTGCTGAGTTTCTGCTTTTTTATCCTTGCTTTTTGGCTAATTATACATAGCAGTGTGTATCCCTATGGGAAGACAACAACAAGGGTTTACTACAGGGTCCTTAGGGAGTGTGCAGCCAGTCTCTGGTTTCACTAAGGGCTACATCAGAGGGTTTCTCTACAAAGCTGGTTGTCCAGCAGGTGTGTGAACAGCAGCTCCTTTTAAAGGTTCTAATAACTGATAATTAACCCAACATTAAGCAGATAGTCTCTGGTGACAGCTCCAGAGCCACCTGCACAGCGAGAGTTTGCTGAAGGAGGCTGTAGCATTTCAATGAACTCACTACTTACTCGGAGTGTTCAGTAGCTGTATTTTGTTTTTTCCAGTTCATAATACAGAAAGAGGTTCTGAAGGACATGCAGCACTTTTAGTGAATACATCTATATACAGTCAGCCAGAACTGAGATAAAAATCATACAGTGACCAAAGTGATTCTTCTGGCCTGCCAGATACATTGAACAGACTAAAGATGGGGTTTGGGGGGTTTTCCTTTTTTAAAGAAAAGATTAAGACTTTATTCAAGATGTGTATCAAGCAGTACAACAAACCCAGCCAAACATTAAACCTTTGGAATACTGTTGTCATGGCCATCCCTGTGAGGCGTTGAGTGCACCATTCCATCCCAGCTCTTTTCTACCCAGCACAGGAAGGAAACCACACAAAGTGCACGATGAGCATCCTTAGGACAGTTTGTCTAAAGGCAAATCCCAATGCAGAGCTCTCTCCTACTGCAAATATGATGCACCATGAGTACCTGAAACAAACAGCAAAGGAAACTGTGCAACAAGCATCTGGCCACAGGAACGAGGGCTTTACCACCACGTGGGAACACTTGAGCAGTTAGAGACAGCAGGTTGTTACATGAGGTTTGGGAGCATCAGGTCTCTCCATGCAGCTTTCTCCCTCTTACCAGGAATAAACCTCATTCTGCTTTCCTTTTGGGCTGGGGTTGCACTTGCACAGTTCAGATGAGGTGACAGGATACATGTGACATCTGTCTTGTTGCAATTTGGTGTCATCCTGACTCGGCAACCACTGTAACTGTGCTGCCACTGCCCCTCTGACAAGAAAGGAGGCATTGGAGGACAGCATTGAGCTTAGGCTTGTTCTCCTCATAAGTGAGGTGAACTTATGATGAGATAATCCACAGGCCCATCTTCAACTGCAGTTTTCTTTCCCTCAGCATCAATTTTACTTGCTCCAAACAACACAGGTTTCACTGGTGCCTCATGCCAGGCAAAGGCTCTGTTTTCTAGCACTGGCCTGATTTCTTCAGGCCACCACTGAGAGGCCTGCCTGCCCTACAGGGCTGCTCAGAGAGGCCCCAAACTGTTCTTCTTCCTTAAGCCAGATCTGTTGCTAGTTTAAACCATCAACTAAGAGATTTCTTGCTTTTAGGACTGATCAGCAAACAGCTGAGCTGAAGCTGGGGGGGGAAGCTGAGAACGCTCCCCCAAACACACCTCAGAAGCCACCATCCACGTCCTCTCTTCGCTCCCAACCTCTGGTTCAGGCAGGGCCATGACTCACTGAATCAGGCTTGTTCCTTGGCATAGGCAAAGAGCAAAACCAGAACCAAAGCCTTCATGTCTGGTGTTTATTCCAGTGACCACCAGTAATGAGAAGAGAGAAATCCCTGACTTGGGGCACCACCTGTAAACAACCCGTGAGGAAGATGAGGGATTGGAAACGAATGGCCGCTCTGTACATACAACACTACAGCACGACGTGTACGTGGGTGAGCATCCACATTTCTTACCTATCTATACACAAATATACAGCTCAGTTGATAATACATTTTTGCCAGAGATATGAAAAGGTTTATTTTTCTCATTTATACAGTGAATGTTTTGAGAGATATAAGGCAACTCCCTTGTCAACAACTTTACCTCAGCACTTAAGAAATGCTAAACAGTCAAAGGTTACAGTAAAACAGCAGATTAGACGCACATCTAATAATTGTAGTGAGAATCAATGCTCCTACAGCATGTCTGAGAGTAGAATTCATCAGAAGTTACATAGCTCTATGTTACTGGGGGGGTTTGGCATCGAGTGCAAACTTGTCAGCTGCTGCTTTATCTTATGGCAGCCCATTGCGTAGCAGGGAAACACAGCTCGCTTGCAGGATTCTATCTTCTGCTAACACTGCAGGCAGGGTTTCTTCTTTCTTACTAATGTCTGCCAAAAGGAATCAAATGAACTCTAAAGCTGCTTAAGAACAAAATGCACAAGCTTAGCTTCTCCAAGCTTTTGCTGTGTCTTCCAAGGACTGGCTCTTCTGTAACTGCTATTTAGACAGGTTGGTTTTAATTTACTTTCTCAAGTCTTTTTCCTTCCTACCCATTGCAAAATACAATTAAATTAGCACATGTAAAGGAAATAAAATGCTCAGGTAATGAGGCCAAATACTGTGGCAGGCACAGGAAATACCTACTCACTGTTTCTGCTTCCCAGCTAAGCCAGATACACATTTGTGTGTCTGTACACAGTTTCTGTCTTCCCCACGTACATAGTAAGAAGCTCTGGGGGAAGCCTCAGGGATCCATTAGCCAGGGAGGGCTGGGATATCAATGCATAACCAGCAGAGAACAGGTTTCCAAGGGCACTCACTGCGGGTTTCTCTGATCCACTCCACTGTTTGCATCCTGCTGCACCTGACCTGGGTTATCCATGCTGTTCCCCATCAAGACCCTGCACTGATCGCCTGGCAATGGCACGTTCTATGTGATGCTAAATGTTCTAGTCTACGTGACAGGTCCAAGAGCAAACACAAAGTGCCACGGAATTAACGTATGAGTGACTGTCACATGCTCAACACTTACAAGAGACACCAACTTGAAGCACAAATACACAAACCCTACCACATCTTCCTCTTTTATATTTCTCATTTATATATGGATACAAACACACCACTGCGTCTGGATCTTGTGGTTCTAACCAACTCCATGCTGCAAGCAACACTCCAGGCTTCAAACAGCAACTCAGCCCCAGCACCCTGCAAGGAAACCAGTGGCACCTGACCCAGAAGGCAGGGTGCTGGGGCTGATCCTGCTGCAGGCAGGGGAGGAAGGTGTGTTTTCCTCTCTGTGTCACTAAAGCAATCCTAACTCTGTTGCTGCACTTAATACAAGCCTGGCTTGCTCACACTTTACAACTGGCAGTAGAGCCTTTGCCACAAGCAGTATGTTCTTCCAGCTGCCATCATGTTCCACACTATACTCTCCTGGCTCAGGCTGATGAAAATTAAAGACTTCATGACCTCGTTGGAACCACTTCTTTTCTCTCACACATCTCTTCCTCGTCCTCTGTAAGTGGTTTGTTCTCCATATGGTGTTCCCAGGTTAACTTGCAGACAGAGAAGCTCAGCTTTCACTAACGAACCTCGGACATTTCATACAAAGTACTTGGATACTTGTTACCTCATCCACAGTCTTGAGGAAAGAGAAATCCACGGGTTCTGCAAATCCGCCTCATAATGGTAAAGCCATAAATAAACACACTGTCAATGTGTCACCATGAGTAACTGGGGGATTGTTTCCGTCTCCGCTGTGCATTCACAGAGCTAGAGCTATGCAGACACAGATGAGAACTGTAAATGTACAGGGTTGGCGTGAGTGGGGGTACACCCTGCAAACAGAACAAGGACTCTGAACCTGCAGGTGTCTGTCACACTGTCCAACACCACGGACTAACGCGAGAAGCTGTAACAGAGGATACAGAGAGAGGAGAGGGAAAGGCCGTGTCTACATCGCTGCACAAAGCACATCCATCCCACTGCTGTTTCCTACGTTAACAAGTAGCTCTTTAAGGCAGAAGAGAGACATTCTGTGGATCCTGGTGCTATTGGCTCATTGCACTCACATTGTTTCAGTGACAGAGGACGAGGTACTTTTCTTCCTGAAGCGAGGTCTAAGGGTCCTAGGCGGTGCCTGCAGGAAAGCAAGAGGAAACGTCAGTGGCATGATAGGAAATGGTTTTTCTTTCCTTAAAACTCACCCACCTTTGCAGCACCTCTGTGGCACTGATCCCACTCCAGTAATGGAGAAGCAGATCTTGGCACTGAGGACCAGCTGAAGACTAACTGCTTCAAGAAACCTGTTGTAGTCCTTTACCGAGGTTACACCAGCAGCTTCCCCTCTGGTGCTTGGTTAGAGGCTAAAGACTGCTAATAACAGCTTGAAGGAGTCAGGACAAATTGATGCCATTGACAACACCTTGCGGATCAGGAGAGCAAACTGGTGGCAGAAAGACAGCTCTGGTGTGTCCCAGCCTGTCCTGCAGTGCCCAGCCCAGCTGCAGCCCCTCTGAGGGTACATGGGGCATTACAGAGCCGAGGTGAAACACTCGGAGGCTGTAATTCTCATAAGGCAGAACTCCTCAAAGATCAGCCTCCTGCTCTGGGCACAGGCCAGACACAATAGACTGAAATCAGTTTAGAAGCCAACTATTGCAATTCTGTCCTGCAGAGATGCAGTGATGCAGAAAGCTTCAAAAAGCACCCCTGAATGCTCAGGAGAAGCCAGACAACTCCATGGAATTCATTTACTGTCATCAACCCCATTCTCCAGACTGGGACAGGATTTAATTAAACTAGCAAACAAACAAACATAAAACCCCCTAATCTGCAACACATACGACTCTCAGAAGAGCTTTGGCATTGGCATTGTGTCTTGCGAGCTTCACAAGAAGAAATGGGTACCAGATGTTGTGGAGGAGCATGAGTTCTCAGTCTGGAGGCCTGTCATAGCATTGTGTATCACTGCAAGGCCTGATAAGCTTTTCTGCTCCATTTACATCTATATCCAAAGCATCAAACTATTTACCTTTAAGAGTCTGACAGGATCTTACCATTGCTAAGTGAGGACTTTGTCATTTCTGTCTTATAGGACTTTCAACCCCCAAATCATGCTGTGTTTCCCCATTCCTGTGATGCAGCGAGGTATAAATACTCATACAGACAAGGAACTGCAGCATGGTGAGGTTTTGGTTAGGCTCCATCTAAGTCCCCATCTCTTCCAGATTGCCAATAAACCAAAGTGGTTTCTCACAGAGATGGCATTAATCCAACACCTCACCCCATCTTCCGAGCCTGGAATCCTACCTATGTGTAAAGCACAACAGACCCAGATGGGTCTTAGAGCAAAGCAGTCATGAACTGCACAGTAAAGACTCTTAAATAGCTCTGCCTCCTTTGGGAGGCCACCAGGCAGCTCTGAGAGCAGCCAGAGAGGCTGCATCTTTTCACTGTAAGAACAGAGCAGCCCAGCCTTTGGTGGTCCTTGGTGGAGATGTGTCAGCTCGGATCTGTGAGCTCCATCTGCTCTGGCTCCATCCTCCCTGCCCGAATCTGGAAGTATTCTTTGTCTACAGCATCTCCCACAGAGGTTTCATTTCCTCCACAGCAAAACGTTGCTGAAATTGCTTTTGGCAAACCCCACTGTGAGATCTGCATCTCCTTTAGGGCTTTCATTTCCATGGAACAACTTAAAAGTGTGCTTGTCAATACAGTGACTGATCCAAACCCCTACGGAGTCCTGAAGTGCTGCTGGTCTTGGTGGGGTTTGGCTGGGTGTGAACCCAAGTGAAAGGGACCAGGCTCTGTGGGTGCTGTTCTCACTGTAACCATCCTGCCTTGGGGGTGAGAATGTGTTTTCCTCTTCAGACATGAAAAATCAAAGGGTTTGATATCCAAATCCTCTCACCCAAACACCTCCACATGGTTTAGAGCTAGAGCCAAGTTTTGCAACTCACAACCGTCTCTGAAGCCCATATATTTATGATCTCCACTGGCACCAGTTCAGACTATGTCAGGATATCCACACATGCATGAAAGTGAGTGATCCAACAGCAAAACCCACCCTTGGAAGACCAGAAGTGTTTTGTTTGGTGGTTTTAGACCAAAGAGAGATCTTCATTCAGTTGAGGATTTAAGGAATGTTACACAAGGAGGAACCTGGAAGTACCTCAAGGGGTTGATCCTTCTTTTTGGGCTTTTTGTTCATGGATGCACAATCCAATGAATCGTTCTCCTCATCATCGGAGAACACAGAGCCTTGGGTTTCACAGTTTACTTCAGGTGGCTTTTCAAACGTATTGTCCATGCCTATTTCACAGGGCCATTTACAGTCTAAACATGAAGACAAGGGATGAAGAAATCAGTGATGATTCGATTCACACTCTGCCAAATGCCACCTCACTGCAAAGCCATGCATCTTCCAGGCATTAACAGACTGCAGGTTCACACATCACACTCTAGTAACAGCAGCAGTGGGGTTAGACATCAAAAGGGTTCTATTTATGAAGCCATTATAAGCTCTATTTGGATTATTTTACATATAATTGAGACTAAATTCACAGGCTCTGATGCTCTGGAGGTTGCCTCTAGAAAGAGTTCTTTGCTTGTCCAGCCCATAAATAAAATAGCTGATTTATTGAATCACTGATTCCATCCATAGCTCCTCTATTTACAGTTTCCAGAAGCGTCCTCTAGAAGGCACCAAACGAGTGCTGAAGGCCTCTGGTCAGTTTAGAGAGAGCTGCCCGGGATACAGAAATATGAAGTACAGCAGCACTTGGAGCTGAGATCTACTGATGTTAACATAAAGCTCCACCAGGTATTAAGTGGACTCTCAGCAGTGGGAGCCTTGCTGCAAGACCAGAGCAGGGAAAAGACTCTCTTCTGTCACTCTGGAGTGAATTTCATGGAGCACTAACCCCACTGATGGATCTGAAGGCAGATTTTGCCCCCATGACTACAGACCACTAACACCAGCTTGGGGGTTCTTGTAACGTAGGGCATGATCGTGGTGGGATCGGTCACGTTGCACAACACAATCCATTTGCTGCCTTCAGTGCAGACAGTGAAGCAATACAGTCCAAAGCAGGAGGTACAGAAGAGCAAGATCAAGCTTCCTGCATCTCCATAGGTGGCTTCTTATCCATGGGGCTGGAGCTTTCTCTGTTTAACTGATAGTTATATTTCTTCTGCAGCATGTCAGGAGTGGAAGTGTTTGCTGTTTAGACAACATTAACCACAAGTATTTGCTCTGTATTAGACTGTTGCATGAACATACATAGAAATAATGCTCTGTGTTGCTGTCTCAGCCTGACTATAAGGCTCTGCTGGACCTAAAAGTTAAACCCAAAGACTAAACCAAAGAGGATACCTCAACATCCAATGCTTCTTAATCCATTTGGATTCTTAAAGTACAAAAGAACTGAATTCTCCAACAGCTTGTTCAGTTGGGTAACAGATAAAGGGAAGTGATTTGGCTACAGCAACACCACCAGTCATGAGCAGGTCACTGGGGCTCTCTCCAGTGCCAGACTGAAGTTGAAGTCATTCTCAGCCCCTGCCTTCAGCCCAAAGGATGCGGCTGCTGCACGAGGGAGCATCCTTTGGCCACTGCCCCTGCCCCACTCCTCCATCACCATTTGCATGGGCAGGCTGACAGACACCATTGCAGGTTAGCAGGAAGAGCTGGAAGTTGTCTTTATTTCCCAGATACACTGACAGTGCTGATTGTCATACTGCAGAGAGGTCCAGGATAATGCTGAATTGGTTCTGTTGTCTGCATATGACTGTTGGGTTAGGACTACACTGTGGGGAGACTTAAATCTTTAGACCACAAGGCAAAACAGTGCAGGAATATTAAATTTGAAGTACTATTTAACCCTTCTACTTGGGAAACGAGCTACCCAGGAGGAGCCTGGCTTAGGCCATCTTAGATGTGGAATATGGTCCTTGTTGCCTCTCCAAGCCAACAAAAAATGAAGTCAAGTTTGGTTTAAATGCTGTTTGCATAGCCAAGCTTGAAGCATGCTAAATCTTCAGCTTGGAGGCCAAGTACTGCCCATAGATGCCCTCTTCCCCTGGGGTCCCTCATATGTGAACTGCAGGCTGGGCTTCAGCCACTTTGTTTCCAGGTAGATAGTAAAAGTGGGTCAGGACCCATTCAGGTGCCTCACTGAGGTTTGCACAGTGGCCCAACAACACACCTCCAAGTACTGCTGTGAGGAGACACAGCTTTTCCCCATGGAAAAGAGGACTTTGAATGGGACAGGATGGAGGGGTTTGGAGGAGCAGAATTATGGCATTTTAGTGCATGGAGCCACTGGCTGCTGAAGCTGAAGGAACACAGGATCAGGCCAATGTGCTTGCTCCCTTTCTCCTACAGCCAGATGCTTTGCTGGAGAAGGAGACAGAAAGAACCATCAGCCCTGATAGCGCTCCCATCAATCCCATGGTTTTCCAATGTACGTTGCTTTCTCAGTTATTATTCTCTCTCTTCAACTGGGTGCTGGGTTACAAAGATCCCCAGGCAGCTCTGCCACCCATGTTGTGTGTCTACATGGCAGGCACAGCCCCCGATGGGCTCTTCTGTTCTCAAGGGTCACATCCAGGTATCCAGAGGAGAGCTCGGGCTCCAAGCTGGCACATACAGCTTTGACCCCGCAGCAGAGAGGTCTGCAATGTCCATTGGAAGCTGGGCTGATGCCCTCCTCTCCCCTGCTCCATCTCATTGTGGATGAGGCACTGAAAGCCAGCCAGATGGGAGCCAGTTTTGCTTCAGCCTCACTGAACTGGGAAAAGGAAGAAGCGGATCTACCCCAAGCCTTTCTGCTGCATTGCTGACCATTGACCAGAGCAGATCTTGAATACAAGATCCAGGAGCAAGAAGGGAAGATTCCCTGCCCTTCCTGCCTCAGGGATCGCACTGGGGCAATCCCAACCTTGTATTGACCTGGGGTGCCAGATTTTGTCCCACCTTTGTGGAAGCATTGTGGGGCTGGAGGCAGGTCATCTTAAAGGGCAGCTGCTGTGCGAGTGCCAGCTCTGAAGCTGGGGTTTCTTGTGATGACAGGATAAAAACCTGATTTTCCTACACCAAAAGAGTCCTCCTCTGCAGGAGAAAATGTAAATCAGGGGATTAACCAGGATAAAAAGCACACATGAGGAATTAGTGAGGAATTCTTAAAGAGAATGGATGGGTTCTGGGACACCAAGGTTTGTTTATGGAGAAGGTGAAGTATGAGGAGCAGAACACGTCAGTGCCGGCACATGCTCCTTGAGGACAGCGCTTGGTCTTGGGTGACTGGCTCCTAAAAGCCACCTTTAGGATATGAGGCTGTGTATCGAGCCTCAGGCCATCACGGGTGTCCCCAGAGTGGGAGTGCCAGCAGGCAGGGACAGCCCCAGGGCCTGTGTCACAGCATGGACCACACACCAGATGATGCTCCTGCCTCTCTCATCCTTAGGAGACCCTCACTGCCCATCTCAGAGCTGTGTGTAACACATTTATGGCTCCACAGCTTTGTATGGAGGGGCAGGACTGCTGCAGAGATGGGAAATCCACTGTGTGCCAGGGCCAAAGCTGCTGCTGCCTCTTGCAGCTTTCAATATCCAGATGACACCTCTCCCTGCACTGAGGCAAGACAGAACCTGACGGTACAGTGTAAGGAAACAGACCCTGTAATTCCAGTTCCTATCATCGTAATTCCTTCAAAGGGAACCGATATAACAAACACAGTGTGTAGGAAGCCCTGAAGCCAGGTATATTTCAAGGTGAAGTTGACATTTGAGTGCTCTGCAGAGGTGGGATCTAAGGTATTACAAATGTACAACAGGGAAGCATGCAGCAGGGAAAGGGAATGTGGGGCCAGACCATCATCATCTTTAAGCTCTGTGATTTTAGAAGGGCTAAGAAATCTATAGCAACAAGTGGGATTCGATAGCGTGCTGGTTCTTCAGCCACCACTTTGTTTCAGGCTCTGGTCTATGCTGCTGTGTAAACCTGGAGTAACTCCTATGGATTTCCACAAGTACAACAGAGGTCAGGATCTGGCCCACTCTAACTACAGATGAGACACTTAAATACAGTTACAGTGGGAATCAGGCACCCCTTTGAGGGAAGCTGGACCTCCCCCTTACTTTGCTGGGCACAACATGTGTTCCTCCCACTGCAATTCCTTAGGAGCAGTGGGGAAAACCACAGTTACAGACTACACAAGCCAGGATCAGGTATTGTTATGGAATATATGGAATATAATTGTTATGGAATATAACCATTGTAATGGAAGATAAAGCCATTCCAAGCCAAGCCTTTCCAGGGGATAATTGACATTAAAGAGGTTTGCACACCACTTAGTAAGAGCAGGTATTTATTATACGATGGTGATCAGCTTCTTTTCCCTGCAACACAGACAAACTGGCCATCATTTCCAAAGGCCATTGACCCAAGCCATGTGCTTGCCCAACACTTCTCATTGCCAAACCAAGGAGTTAGGAGCAGCCAACTCCACCAGCACACGTTGCCCAAACAGAGGCAGACATCGTCTCCAAAGTCAAGTACAACCAAAGCAAACAAGTTGAAGCACAGCAACAAAGCCACCCGTTAATGAAAACGCATCCCACAAAGGATTAAGTTGTTAAGTGCTAGTCTTGTCCAAACACCTCAGAAGAACACCCATGCGATCTGTAACACTTACATCAGAGTCCCATCATATTCATAGAGAGAAAAGGAAAGAATAAACTGTTAGGGGAAAACACTGGGGTGTAGAGAACGAAGGAACACTGGTTCAGGGCACAGAAATCTTCATCTTTGCATATCTATGGTTCAAGTGGAGTTTATTAAATAACAATTACTGTTTTAGCTTCCTGCTGGTAAGATGCAAATGTACGTAAAGAACCTACTGACTGAGCCTGAAATAAGCATAGCAAGTATGAAAGTACTTCAAAATACCCAGAGAAACACCCAAATGGCCATTCAGAGGTACCAGTGCGAAGCGATGCAAATCATCCCTGTAGCAATTTGATTAGTATTTAGTAAAGGGAAGTTTTAAGGAGCAAAATGCCTGGAGCAACAGAAAGTTGATTGTTCTTTAAGTTCAATGAGAGAAAGGTTAAACACAATCCCTGCCACAAGAGCTGGAGGCAAAACTGGCTAAGAACAGAACTGAAACACCTACCCCATTTCATTGCATCACTTCAGAGATCCAAGAACTGCTCCTTGATGCAAAGTCAGTTAGGTTTTTAAGAGTACTTTCCACTGTAATCATCTCATGTGCAAGTTGTAGCATAATACAAAGGGGCTGGATACATCTACTCCATACCAATAGGGTGCTTTGTTTAAAGCATGATTTAGTGAATGTTCCATTAAGACCCTCACTGAGCTGCAGTGCTGACTGCGTATGATCCGTCACCTTGTCTTTGGGGTCACAATCATATGTGGGAAGGGATCCAACATCATTTTATGGGGTCTAGCTTAATGCTGCAGCACCCTGTGGATAGCTGAGTGAACATGTTGGCCAGACTGACTGTCAGCCACTGGTGAGCTGTAGTTTTAAGGTGGTTTTAAGTTTTTAAAGGCCTCTCAGATACCTGCAGCCTCAGCAGTTCTGATATAGAGTGGATTCTTCAGGATCTAATATATGTATTTATTAGATACAAGGAAGTTCTTTACTGTGAGGGTGGTGAGGCACGGGTATGGGTTGCCCAGGGAGGCTGTGAATGCTCCATCCCCAGCAGTGTTCAAGGACAGGCTGGACAGAGCTTTGGGTGACATGGTTTAGTGTGAGGTGTCCCTCCCCATGGCAGGGGGTTGGAACTGGATGATGTTAAGGTCCTTTCCAACCCAAACTATTCTATGATTCCTTTCAAGGATTGAAATTGTTCTTCCCCCCCCACCACGGCACAGATCTTTGCAACAGCACCCAAGAGATGTTAGCTGAGAAAATACCCCCAAATACAGCATTTGTTACTTCTTAAATGCCAGCTCCAAGCACGACTGTTTAACACTGCCCAGTGGTTAAGCATTTACCAGACCCTGCCAAGAGACAAACAAATCCCTGGACATTTTCACTCCGTCCTTCTGAAGGGGAAAAAGGGCTCTGACATAATTGCATTGCTGTTCCTGAATGCTGCAGCCTGGCTTTCCACAGCCTGCGAACAGAGAGCATTAAATAAAAGGCAGAAGCTCTTCCCTGTGAGGGTGCTGAGGCGCTGGCACAGGATGCCCAGAGAAGCTGTGGCTGCCCCATCCCTGGCAATGTTCAAGGCCAGGTTGGACACAGGGGCTTGGAGCAAGCTGCTCTAGTGGAAGGGGTCCCTGCCTGTGGCAGGGATTGGAGCTGGATGAGCTTTAAGGTCCCTTCAACCCAACCCATTCCATTATAATCCTGTGATAAGTGATAAATCAGAAACTCGTGTAAAGACATGAAAGGAGTTTTGCCAGCAAAGGCCTTCCCCTGGGCACGAGCTCGCACAGAAGCTGTCAACAAGACAACGCTGGCATATGCATAGTGGAACACACTCGTGTTTAGTGAAGCTGCCCAGAGCAAAGCAGGATGAATGTCCTGAACTGTGTCAATGCTCTGTCATGTGCAGAGCATGAGGGTGGCTGGAGGGAGCCAAATGGGCAGGGAAGAGCTCCAGGAGCAGAGGAACCCATCACCATCACTGACAGTGCCAGATCTGCTGCTCCTGCACTCAGCCTGGCTTTTGGTCTCTGCACTCCATGGCACTTGCAGGCCATGAAACCTCCTCATGGGCTACAATCTATGGAGCAGGATGGGAGGACTTGTGCTCCCCCAGCTCAAGAGCTGAGGGGGTTTCTATGAGTCAACCAGAGAGAAATGTTTCACCTCCAAGAGCATTAAAGCAACTGCCAAAAAGGCTGCATCATGGCTCTAAACCAGCCTCTCACACAAGGCTTGACTACGGGCCCATTTAGATTACCAGCTCTTTGGAGACAAGTCCTGTTAATGAGTGTACTCTTAAACTGGCGACACAAAAGCCTGCACCAAGGAAAGATGAGTTCAGGACCACCTCATCCCAGCTAAACAAACTTTGCTTCTGTCTTCCCCCCTGCTTTCTGTGGCACTGCAGAACGTGTTCACACGATGCAGTGAGCCCTCCGAGCTGCCCAAGCTGCACTTACAAAGGGGCATTTTCAACGGCAGGCCCTTGTCTGACAGTGCATTAATGCATCTATTGCCTTGGAGACAGAGAAAAGGCAGCCTGTGGAGACAGAATGAACCTTCTATGAGATCGAGCCTCAGTGTATCCCTATTGACATGGTCTAAGGGACTACTGGATTAAGTCTGGGGGGAGGGAATAGTAAAACAAGCCAATCTGTAAGCAATTTAAACCAGATCAACATGACTTTGGGCCCAATTTGCAAACATATTGGACTGATTAAATGACTTTCCTAAGGTTCACTCATGACTATAAAGCACTTATGGATGCAGTGATCCTTTTCATAAATAACACTTTGAAGTCAAATCCATAGCATCGGTTTAGGCTAAAATTAGAAGGGTGCTAACAAAACGTGCTGTGAATAGCAGTGTCTCATTGATGGCTTAAACAGACACCACCTCAAACAGGCTTCATTGTGCACGGCAGCACCGAATGTGCTGATGCAAAGAACTAGAAGAGGACAACAGGGAGGGTGAAAAAGCAGCCACAGGGGTTGGTTTGCCACCTACACAGGGTGCAAGGAGATGGCATCAGGCTGGGATCACCACCTCCAAGCAGTGATGCAGTGGGAAGGCACAGATGGCTAAACCACGGTGGCAGCACTGTGATCTTCAGACCCTCTGCTGTAGTCCCCGGGTTGATAACAGTGTGCAAAGTGAACACAAAGGAAATGTGATGAGAAGTAAAGGAGTCACAAAGGTCTTTTGCTTCCACCAACATGAGACGCTGCCATTCTGGATGCAGCCCCATCCTCTGGCATGCCCAAACCAGAGGCCTCCCCATCCATTCATCTGCCACTGGGACACAATGCAGCAGTGATACAGCTCAGCTCTTAGCAGCCGATTGGTGCAGCATTGAAAACACCACCAGCAGCTAAACTATTCACCCACTCTAAGTTTGTAAACACAATGAACACTGGGGACAGGCTTCAAACCCAGCTCTGGCACAGACCGGAGCAGGGAGAGTCCATTTAACCCTGCTTTGTCACACCACTTTGTCTGCTACTGAGCTTTGCTGTGGCTCCTCCTCATCCCAAACACAAAAGTCCTGTCCACCAACACATGCCAGTGCTTAGGGAGCAGAAGAAAACAGCAAAGGCCAGGTTGGACACAGGGGCTTGGAGCAAGCTGCTCTAGTGGAAGGTGTCCTGCTCATGGCAGGGGTTGGAACTGGATGGGCTTTAAGGTCCCTTCCAACTCAAACCATGCTGTGATTCTATGAAAGGGATACAGGGGGGATACAGGGCAGAGGAGTTACCCTGGTGCAGTGGGGACAGTGGCACATCCTCTAGAACAGAAAGGACCAGAGCTCTGCAGAGAAACACTCCCCAGCCTTGGGTAACACGGGTCAGTAGGGTGAGCAGCACTGCAATGCTGGCCATCAGCACAAACCCAGCTCACACAGCCTGGCCTTCCCTTGGCTTGTTCCCCTGGTGTTAGGAGACCCAGTGAGCACAAGTGTGAGGAGCAAGCCAGGCTGGGGAGCACAGCCATGCCTGAAAGGGATGCGCGGCTACGGAGCACAAGACACGCAGCACTCACCTCTGAGGAGCCGGCACACCGAGCAACACGTGCACACTGGAAGAGGAGCTGAGCGTTAGGAACTCGTCAGGCTGAGCTACCGACTCCCACAGAACACTTGGCATCATTTGGAGATGGGAATCAATGGCTTTGTGGGCATAGAGAGGTGATTGTCTCTATCCACCGGCTCGGAGCGCACACAGGAACGTGCCTCACCCCGGGCTATGTGCCTAAGGGGTGTTCAGGCTGGGATTGCATACAGCTCCCTGGCTCTGGTCTCAGATCACTGAACAGAAATAACTCCTGACCAGAGGGATCTGGGAGCATGGATGAGCAATGGGTCACACAGTGTAAAAGGCTGATGAATACAAGCACAGGGTGCAACACTGGGACTTGTATTGCTACATGCCTACATTCAGACATCTGCAAGCAGCCATTCACACAGCTTCCAAAGGAAAACTATCCCTGATCTATCCGGAGCAGGAGCATGCTGAGGAGTCCTGCAGGAATTATGCTTTGGTGGAATTGCTGTAAGGATGACAGCTACCAAGGGAATGGCATTGCACCCTTCAGTGAGAATGCAGGTGAATCACAGCTGCTCATGAAAGCATGAACTGCACAGCTTCATCCTGAGGACAGCCTGGCTGCCAGGAAACAGCCCAGAAACAATTCCCAGTCTGAGCTTTCCAATGAAACCCTCCCAGTGGCATCAATGACTCCAGATAGGACAAGGGGTAATGGGTTCAAACTGAAACAGGGGAAGTTTAGATTGGATATAAGGAGGAAATTCTTTCCTGTTAGGGTGGTGAGGCACTGGAATGGGTTGCCCAGGGAGACTGTGAATGCTCCATCCCTGGTGATGTTCAAGGCCAGGTTGGACAGAGCCTTGGGTGACATGGTTTAGTGTGAGGTGTCCCTGCCCATGGCAGGGGGTTGGAACTGGATGATCTTAAGGCCCTTTCCAACCCTAACTATTTTATGATTAAAAGAGCTTTTGAATCACAAGGTTTGAGCTCTGGGTGATTCCTTTGGTCAGGATTATCCTGCACTTCCATAGCTTCACAGTCATTTTAAACCAGCACAAACCAGCACTGCTGCTGACAGCAGATGTCCCATTGTCCCTCACACTCTGGCCTCCACCTTCCTTGTCCCATGGCTGATGTCTGTGCTGCTGCTCTCTACTGGCTTTGAGGATCTAGGCCAGGCCAAGAGCAAGGAACAGCATTTGACTTGAACCAGCCCCCTGAAAGGGGTCAGCACATGTAAGCTTTAAACATGTCCAAGGAAAAAGGATGGCATGGGGCAGAAGCAAGCAGTTGGGTCATGCCCTTTCAACAGGAGTGCTGGCTCACACTGGCTGGATGCTGCTGTGAGGCTATGGCCTTTGTAACAGAGGTGAGTCTCAACCAACCTCAGGAGATGTGCTGTGAGCGGAGCCTCTGGTTTTACACGGAAGTCACTGATCAGTTCTGTGATGGTTCATTCTCTGAGAGCTCACACATCATCTGCACAAGGGTCGTTCCCACACACCTCTGGAGCTCTTCTAGTTGGTGGGGACTGAACTACGTGTCCTGAATGCTGATGTTCCACCACCTTTGCTCTCTTCTGCAAAGCCTGCAGGGCTAGAGTGCAAACCCAAGCAGCAGCCTTGAGTCTCCTGCACGGAGGAGGGGATGGTACCAGAATGCACATTTCTGCTTTGGCATCATTCCAGCTGAGAATCACCTCTGCCTGGGGCAGGCTGAAGCAGAAAGGGCACTTGGTCTGGGCAATACAGAGGATGGCTCCACAATACATGATCCTCAGGCCCAGACAGCATCAGTGCTGGACACTGACCATCCCCTGATGCAACACACATCTCCTGCTGCTGAAGTGCATCCCACTGACACCCCAAAGCCAGGCTGGTCTCCAGTGCCCAACCAACTCACATCAGCAACCCTGAGATATGTTTGCATCAGCTCCAGGATTGAGCCATGTGACACCATGGCCAATATCCTGTTCCTGTCACATGTGTCACTTCCCAGCCGTCACAAGGGAACAAGTTGCACCTGTACTGTCCAGGATGCTTTAAGGCAATACTGCAACGTTAAGAAGTGCAACCCAACCCCAGTGCTAATATAGACATGCCTGTGTGTGGATTGTTACTGGACATCAGGATTGCCTTGAAAAATGCTTGGAAATCTTGTTCTGGAGCTTCCAGTTTTCCATTGCGATGAGCAGCCACACGACGCTGACAGCTCCCAAAGGAAAGGGGCAGCTGTGTGCAAGCAGCACAGGTTGGAACAGGCATCGGAGCTGAAATACCACCAGCTCTCATCAGGATGCCAAGACAGTAAATTGAGAACGGCTGCACTAAGAGCAAAGTGAAAGATCAGATAGAGAGCACAGAGAAGAGGAGGAGAAGGGCTTTCTGTGTGATGGGAGTGAACAGAGCTGGAGCACCTGGAGCCCACTGCACAGCGGAAGGGCACCTACACAAGTGGGGCAGCTCAATGTATAGGGAGCACCACTGATAGGCAGCAAAGGAGGAGTAATCCCCCATGCCTCAAAAGCAGCTCCTGCATATTCTATTTCTTGGCCTCACAAGGCACTCTTCAGCAGCCAAAATAACCCTTTGCTGTGTCTGCATGTGGTTGTTATTGGCTAAATGTCAAGCTCTTCACACGGTGCTTTGTGTCAAGAGGGGATTCAGAGCATCGCAAACCCATCTAACCAGCACCAGGCACTGTAAAAACAGCAGCAATGGAAATGAGAAAGGCTGAGCAGTTATTTAGCATGGCCTCAGTACAGTGTGGTTCTGCAGCCAGGTTTTGGCCTCAGCCAAAGCCCACCGGGGTCAGGAGAGTCTTTTCATGGATTTCAGTGGGCTTGGAAACATGCCCAAGAGATGGGAAATCAGAACCTGAAGCACTCCTGGTGCTCACAGGGTGAGTTCATACGGACAAACCTGAGGTTCAGCAGCCTCAGCTGGCCAGGGAACACAACAGACCTCTCCCCATGCCCCTGCCTTTCCAAATCACTTTCCTCCAGATACATCTGCTGTTAAACACAGTCACTCAATAGGACTGGAACTCGCAACACCAAGTTCTACACCGGACCTGACTGTGGTTATGCTGCTCAGGGAATGGGACCCATCTAGAGCCCTGTAACAACCTAAAGAGCCATCACTTGCCTTTGCCTGGTTATTGTAAGTGAAGGTGTGCTTCCCTGCTCCATTCCTCCAGGAGCAAAGCTGGCTAGAGGAGCTTTCAGCTCCTGGTCTCTTCATCTCCTACCTCCCCAAAGGTCTCCCAGAACAGTTATGTTGGAGGCTCCCAGCGAGGCAGATCAGCAAATCAGCCTGAGTTCAAAATAGTCCCTCACAAACAGGACAAGAAAGCATTTGTATCTGGACCAAACCTGGTTGTTGGAGTGTTTTTTGTGGGGTTGGTGGGTGTTTTGGGGTGTGGTGTTTTTGGTGTGTTTTTGTGTGTTGTGGGTTGGGTGTTGTTTTGTTTGTTTGGTGTGGGTGGGGTGGTTTGGGTTGTGTGTGTTCACAACACTTCGGGTGCCTGTCCCTGCCACAGTTATTGATCAGTTGTAAACTCCAGCAGTGACTTTGAGACCTGCAACTACAAGCTGCAGAGGACTGTTAAAGGTTGGTATAGATGGGAGGATGTAGGGAGTGGGGGCACCTGAATGGACAAATGCTGAAGAGCTATTAGGGTGACATCCAGATCGAGTCATTGAGATCCCAGCACATCCATGTGCACTTCTCACATGTCTGCACTGGGGAAAGAAAAAGGACAGAGTAAAAGAAGGGAAAACATAAAAAGGGACATTCCAATTGTCCAGAAACTTCCCAGTAGTAGCAGATAGAGCACTGTTACTACAGAGAGAGAAACCCTCCTGCCAAACTAGGGTCAGGACTTTTCTATGGGTATGTTATGTGTTATAAGCACTGAAGTAAGAAGGCCACATAAGAAAGCTTCTAAGGGATTGACCATAAATTACACAAGCATCTTCCTCCACATGCAGCTTTCAGGACCTGGGTTTGGGAAGTGCAATTTGTTCTGGTTTAGGGGCACACTGAGGAACAAATGTGTGCTCCAGGTCATACCAGGGGTGTGCAATAAAGCAGGGTGTGAATTCATGTGTCCTCACTCACAGTCTTAACTCCTACCAGCCACACTGCTTCTTCTGCACACACAGGACCTGTTCCTTCAAACCTTCCCTAAAAGCTTCCATAAAGCAGATCCCTACTCTGATCAAGGGTACAGTGTTTGCAGCCCCAAGCAGGCTCTCTATTAATGTTCTTAAAGTTGTTTCATGTATGCCATCACCCACTGCCATGTTACAAAGACCTTTTACAAGGAAGATGAGGTCTTTGGCTGAGTCACCCTCATGTCAAACAGAGTCTGGGGTATTTTTGCTGACTCCATCTGATGTCAGCCCCACTATGTCCCATTATCTCTAAAGCAGGAATATAAAGAGAAGTCCAACGTTCCTGTGAGGCAGTGGGGACAGCTGACATGGACATTTGTGTTATTCGAGGGCTTTGGGGCAGGAAAGAGCTCTGTGTCAGCTGTCTGTAGTGACTGCTCATGCACATACTCATATGTATACATTACATGTATTTATAGCATAATAAGAGGCAGTAGCAAATTCTGTCTGCCCCTTGCTTATGTGCAACACTCCAACTAAACAAATATGGGAGGTGGAGTGATGGAGCCCTATCTGGGCTTGGTGTGCTTACAGCAGCATCAGCTCACCCTGAATATGGCCTTCAAGGTGTGATACACTTGAGCTGCTAGACCACATTCTTATACACACACATGGGATAAGTTACAACTGATCCATTTGCTCCTCTGGACATTCTGACTTCAGACACAGTTGTGTCCACACACAACAGCACAAGGACTGGAGAGACCAGGACTGTATCTTTCACTTAATCTGATTGAAAGTGACGGCAAACCTGTGGCTATATATAGGAGGAAGATCAGATAGATAGATAGATAGATAGATAGATAGATAGATAGATAGATAGATTCCTCTTGTGATGCCACCAACCTATGAGGGAACCACTCTCTGGAGGTGCCTCTTTGTACCGTCTGTAGGTGGAGAAGGGGCCTGCAAGCAGGCTCCCAGGCTAGGGACCTCAGTGAAATCCCTCAGTCAGATGGGACCGATAGAAGTCTTGGAAGATTTGTGTTCTTTTCATTAAAAGAAGAATTAAAACCAAAATATCAAGCTACTTGGATCCAAAAATCCATGAGAAACATTAGCTTGAAAAGTTTAATGAACAGTTCCATTTTCCAGAGATGAATTTTGAGAGATCCCTGTACAGCACTGGTATGAAAGCAGATCAAAATCCAAAGCTTTTGTGTGTTAAGACAGGGGTTTGAAACCAGGTAAGTTAAGTTCACTGCCTTAAGAATGAACCTACAAAGGCTGCTCTATACAACATGGCATTAAGATAACTCGATAATGCTTTACTTGCGCTATTTGGTATTTTGGCTTAAATATGTGGGGTGGTTTCTTTCATTGTTTCTTTTTTATTAAGAGCTTTACCTTCTATGTGTGAACACTTTCAGACTGATTACTACAAGAGAAGTGCATACAAAACCTTACACAAACCTGAGAATAAAACCCCTGGGCACCAACATCAGCTGTTTCAATTTGCCCGTAAAGCCTGTGAGCTATAGTCCTTAGAACTTGTAAAGCACTCAAATGACACTCTTTAGGAAGGCTGAAACAAGACATTTCTAATACATTCCAATGCTAAAGCAAACTCGAAGGGGTGGCCATCTACTCAGGCTTGAATCACAGTGAAGGTCTGCACAGCCCTCACCACACACGAGCTGAAACTGCTCACTTTCCAACTGGCCAGTACGTGTGTCACAGGGTACCAAGTGCAACACGCCTGCAACTCTCTGTGCCTAACATCAGTGGAGCTGCACGATCCTCGGTGGTGTCTGGGAACCCCAGAAGCCATCTGGAACCACCTGCCTGGGCTAACCCTCCATGTCTCAGTTCTGGAGACCTCATCTGCAAAGCTATCTGCAAGTCAATGTTTTGGCTCTGGGCTCACAAAGATTCCTTTAACCAAGCTTGAATGGATCTGATTCCCACCATAAGGCTCCTCCCCTTTGAAAACAAACCATTGCCCTTCAGAGAACCAAGTTTTCCATAACAGTGCTTATGCAGACATCCTTTATATCAGAAGCAGCTGTGAGATCTTGGTCTCTGCTTCTAGGAGTGCTTTATATGGGTTTGTTTCTCAGAAGGGTTCACCGGTGATAAAGTTCTGGAGCTACAACCATCAAGTGTTGTTACAGCTACTGTACAGTTCAGAAGCAGCACAAGTGGGTGTAATTCAAACCACATATCCATTAGAACTCGTATTTACGTTGAGATGACACAAGAGAGGCTGTACCACCATATGTGGGGCTCTGATGATAACAATGACCCTTGCTCACTACTATGCATTCTTATCCCCTCCTTTTGCCCTTCCATTACCTCCCTCACTGAAAACCCACCGGCCCAGAGCTTAGCTTTCCAGCTCAAGTTGCAAGGCTTGATGCTGGCTCCTTTCCATGCTCAAGCCCCATCCTTGGCAGCAGGCAGGAATAGTTCCCATCAAAAGATGACACTGTTTTCTCTCTTAAGTGCCAAGAGACTCAGCAGCATGCATGTGTCCTGTGAATCCCAGTATGCAGTGCTCAGTGCTATCTATTCCTGCCAACTGCCATGACTTCATTCAGCTGTGGGACACTGCACACACCACGACACTGGAAACAACACCGGTGCTTACCTGAGCTGCCAGTGCCTTCCGATGCACTTCGGGATGGTTTTGGGTGGCTCTGTTTGCTACTTGTTCGTACAGTGACCGATGGAGGAACAGTGCTGCTGCTGTCTCCACGGATCGTCGAGAGATCCTGCATGCTAAAGCTCCTTAGTCTCTCAGACAGGGCCCCCTGTCCCTGGTTAAACAAGGAAGCAAAGAACAGGCATAAAAGTTAGAGACAGCAGTGTGTTTTGAGCCTTTCTTCTCCTTGCTCATTGAAATGCTGGTCCAGTAGCCTAGGGAGGACAAAAAACAACTTAAGAGCATCATTTCCCTCCCTTTGCTCTTCCTTTTAGGGGGGTTCTGTGCACAAAGTAATTCAAACTTTGGTCAGCGAGCATCTCTGATTCTTCAATGCAGTCACCTGAGCTCAGAGCAGCCTTGGCTGCATCTAAAGGAGCAGGATGTTGTGGTGTCTTTCTAGCAGGTACTTTTCTTCCCTAGGATCTGACCCAAATCAGTGCTTGGCCTCAGAAACACAACTAAATACTCTGCATCAGAATAACTCCCTTTAAAGTTACCGTCTCTGATACTCACCCATCCTTTCTCAGTCATACACAGCATTTCCTGGGCAATTTGAAGGTAATAAATAGTTCATGTTAAATGCAAAGAAACATTCCAGTGCTTTTTCATGCAGCTTAAGGAAGAAATAAGCACGGTATGTTTCTTTCTTTTTAGAGTTTTAGACAAGCTCTCAATCAGGCAAAACCTCACATTGCTTAGTGAAAGGAATGTAGCTGTTGTCATGGATGGGGTGGTTAAAAGACACCTTGCATTAAAACTACATCCCATAAAGGAGTTGTCTGTAAGTATATGGATATATTCTATAACCTTCATACTACACCACTGCCATTAAGAGTGCCAACAAATACAATCAATACAACATGTCCCTCTCTGTTGGCTACATGAAGCGACATTCAGAATATAAATAGCATAACTGATAAAAACCAAATACATGGAGCCCAATTCTAAACTTATTTCCATTAGTGTAAATTAAGACGACTTCAGTGGATGTGTCAGCTGAGGTGAGAGCAGAAAGATGGCGAAAACCAGCACGTACTGCCTGTTTAACAAAAGAGATAAGCACATTGCAGCAATTCACACACCACTGTCATTTAGACTTGTATTTATCAAAGCAGCGCATCACAGAATCACAGAGTGGTTTGGGTTGGAAGGGACCTTAAAGCTCATCCAGTTCCAACCCCTGCCACGGGCAGGGACCCCTTCCACTAGAGCAGCTTGCTCCAAGCCCCTGTGTCCAACCTGGCCTTGAACACTGCCAGGGATGGGGCAGCCACAGCTTCTCTGGGCACCCTGTGCCAGTGCCTCAGCACCCTCACAGGGAAGAGCTTCTGCCTAAGAGCTCAGCTCAGTCTCCCCTCTGGCAGGTTAAAGCCGTTCCCCTTGGCCTGTCCCTACAGGCCCTTGTCCCAAGCCCCTCTCCAGCTTTCCTGCAGCCCCTTTACGCACTGGAGCTGCTCTAAGGTCTCCTGCAGCCTTCCCCTTCTCCGGCTGAACAAGCTTTGTTAACATCTCACCTCTGCCATCTCATTCCCCAACCCACCACAAGAGCTGATGCCTGAATACTGGCTACTCCTGCCAGTGGCTGAGCCACTCTTGGGACATGCTGTGACTCCAAGAGGCTCCTCAAGTTATTCCCCTTAGGCCAGCCTGTGGTACATTTACTCTGCAGCCTATGACTGTAAGTGGCACTGGGTGGTTCACTGGCGCTGCCCTGCAGGGCTGGTTAGCTGGGTGATCCCAGCCACCCAGAGCTCGGTGCAGTCCTGGATGGGGCTCTGCAGCTTGCACTGGAGTCCTGCACAGGCACCCGGTGTGCATCCTGCCACATACTCTATATCCTACCCCATAGTCTGAGTACAACACATGGATCCCTACAGACAGCAAGCTGAAGGCAATCAGACCACTGAATCGTACTTTGCTGTTGCAGAACGACTAGACCAGCAAAGCCAGAGAGTTAACATTCAGTGAACTGTGTAACCCCAGTACTGCATTTGTCCTGTACCACCAGCTCAAGCTTTGAACCTCCTGCCAGCCACTCTGCTCAGCCACCTAACCCAAATACCATTCCATTCCAATGAGCCATTCGTGCATGTGGACACAAGCCCGAGCAGATTCACATGTCAGACCAACCTACAGGGAAGATGACACTAATACACCCTATTGCATTGAAAATGAAGAAGACATTAGATCCTGCATTGCAACTTGTGATACAGAGGCATAAAATGATCAAAGGCCCCAGAGAATGCTCTGAAACAAGGACCTGGTATGTGCCCATCATCTGTGGGTCTGCTACATATATCATAGATAGATATATCATATCATAGATAGATATATCATAGATACATAGATAGATATATCATAGATACATATATCATAGATAAAGATATATATAGAATCATAGAATCACAGAATGGTTTGGATTGGAAGGGACCTTAAAGCTCACCCAGTTCCAACCCCCTGCCCTAGGCAGGGACACCTTCAACTGGACCAGGTTGCTCCAAGCTCCATGCACCCCAGTCAGCTGAAGCACAGAGCTGTGGCGGCTGTGCTGAACAACACTGACCTTCTCTAGGAGAAAAGAATCCAAAATTGCCTTTTCCTCAGCTTTGGATTTAATTTAAGCTGAGTTCAGGACAGCAAAGCTGCAGGTTGCTCACTGCAGATACAGCAAAGCATTGCTGCTCCTACCGTTCCATGGAACAGTTTGTCCAAGTCTCACGAACAACACAGGAACATCCAAGGCTTAGGCTGAGCAAGGACACTGCCCTCAAACAGAAACACGACAGAAGTGATGACTACAACAGAACCAGGATGGTTTCAGAGCAGAGTGGAAAACGCTGTCCCCAACCTTCATTTCCCTGTCAGAAGCAGCTGCTGCATGGATGGAATCGCACGCATCTGAAAGGCAGCACTGTGAGGGCTCGCACTGCTGTCGTGTTTTAGCACTGAGGACATTATCCAGCTGGAGCGTTTATTATTCCACAACAGGACTTATAATTCATTAACAAAATGAGAGCCAAGTTAAGAGCTGTATTTCACAGCCGAACACTCAGCACCACGCACATCTTGGGCTTGGTTAAAACAAGATGCAGAGCAGCTGTTTGGGGGATTGTTGTTTACCATGCAGGTGCTCTTCCAACTGCCACAGACACAGGAGATATCCCTGGAATTTCAGCACACTGTGAGCCTGCATAGAGGGAAAGTCCAGGTCCTGAAGCTATGGCTATGCCATAGGCCAGAGGCATGGGTGCAGCATAGATCTGGGCTAGGTTTATCCTAGAGAGCATGACAGCAGTGATATGACAGTTACTGTGGTACCATTTCAACAGCAAAGCAGCATCATGTTACTATACAACCTTTAGAAAGCAGGGGTTGGGATGACACCACCTCTCTCCCCTCATTGAACATCAGCGGCCAGGTCAGGATGTTGTGTTGGCAGATAGGGGATGATCCATTGTCAGTGAGCTCAGGGACATGGAGCTGAACATGGCTGATGGGGGATCCAAGAGGTTCCAGTTGGATCCCAGGGGTTCCATGGGGCTGGCATCACAGTGGGAATGGGCCAAGGGGATGTTTTGCTGCTTTCTGACTTGTATTTTGGGGATTTAATCTCCTGGTAGAGGACAGAAGCATGAGGTGGTGCTGGAAGACTGAGCCTTACTCTTTCTGGGCACAGAGAGTACCTGCCTAGACTCAGCTTCCAGCTCATCCAGCTTCTCCTAGGACACAGACTGTCCCTGTAAGCCTGGCACTTCTGATCCAGTACAGTGATGGCAACAAGTGGGAGGAGGTATGACTGTTCCCTGCTCACTATAGTGTATCTGCTCCCGAAGTCATCTCATCTTCCTGCCCATAGGAAAGCTCATCCCCATAAGTGCAGCACAAGCTGAAAGCAGACCTCTTCAGGTTTCCTTTGCCCCTTCTTTTCCCAGGATCTACCAACCTCTCTGGGTCCATACACGAGACAGTTCTATCTTCACAGGAAAGAAGCCCAGGTTGGGGCAGGGCTTGGCGTTACTGAAGAGAACAGAAACCCTAAAAAGAACACTGTAATATCATCCCCCAGGAACTGCTATCACTTGCATCCACCTTACTGAGATTCATAACACTAGCAATGGTATTAGGGCATCGTCCATCACACCAGGGACGTTTAAGCTGAAGCTCATCTCTGATTCTAAGGGAAGTTAAAGCTCCCATTCATGTAGCATAGTAATTAATCTAAAACTAATTTAGGCACATTTACCTGCTTCTGCAGCTGCAGAACAGGCTCGCCTTCCTTACCCACGTCTGGCACACTCTCACCTTAGTTTCGCTTTCAAGAGTGGGCCAAAACCCTATCAAAGTGTATACTGAGTGCTCAAAGCCAAATAACCTGCATCCTACCTCCTCTAGATGCTACAGACATCATCACCTCCACAAATGACCATTAACCTCTGTGGGCCCAGAGCACAAACACTGATGCAACCAGCACTGGCCTGGGAGGATGGGGAACCTTGATCCTTTCCAAAGCCTGAAGTCAGTACTGGGACAGGCACTGGGATGGGCATTCTATAAAGGCTCTGCATCAGAAATAGCTGGAATTGTTTTAACTGCTTTCTTCTCTATAATTAATCTCTGCATTCATTCACATTTGAAGTAGAACTTTTCAGATGGAGACGGACTCAGGAGTCTGGGAAAACTGGGTTTGCATCCAATGGAATTATTCATCCGAAACACTTCACAGACACAGGCAGCTTTACACAGGCAAATGAAATTAGGCACAGAATTAAAGACTGCAATTTGTATCACAGTCCCATTAAATATGATCTAAATACAAGCAAATGAGTGTCTAGGTTTCCTCATACCTTCAGTCTGACAATCTGAAAGATTCTGTAGGTATTATTGAGGCTTCAAAACACCTCCAATACCTACAAGCTCCATTTTGCAGCTATAACAGCACAGTGAAGTAACAAATCAGGAACCAAAACATGTCAAGTCATGGGAGACAAGCTTTTAATACAATTGGTGTTAATACAGGGTGGCACCTTCTGGCCTGTTGTGCCTTAGGGTCAGCAGGCAAGGGAGAACACAACACTAACCCTCTCTTCTTGCTGTAACTTTGGTTACACGTCTGCATGCACGTTACAGCTCCATCCTGCACACACTCACTACAAGGTGCAGTGCACGTTCCTAGGATGCTGGTTATCACCACAGTGTCAGCAGCACTTCCCCAACAACACCTATCAGATAATGCTTGCAGCGATGCATCTCACTGCAGCCCCAACCACCCTAATGGGCTCACAGCAGCGGGAGAGGCTCCCTTTATCCATTAGCAAGAAGAAAACAACAGCAAACACAGCAGCTTGGCCAATGCAGTAGCAACAACCCGAGTTAGATGGGTTTTCCACATACAAAGCTCCCTGCCTGGCTGCTGGAGTCTCTCTGATTGCCAGCAGAGGACTTGGAAGGCATTTTGCTGATGAGATCAAAGATAGGCGTTTAAAGCTCAGCACGAAGGATCTACCTACTGGAAGCAGAGCAGACAGCATCTGGCCTCAGCCCAATCTCAGCTGAAAACAGTTCAAACTAATCTAATGGGGAGGCAGACATTAGTTAGGGGTTAGTAGAAGCACTCAGCAGATTACCTGCCCTTGTTTCTGGTCCCAATACAAGTGTAAATGAAGTAGCTGAGAGACCTAGCAAGGGAAAAAAGAGAGCCATTGTGGCAACACACGTCAAAGCTTTGAGAATAAGGTCTATTTGAAGCATAGGTAATCGAGGCGAGACATGAGCATGACATTGGGCACCATGTGCAGGGGACTCATGTACACATAAGAAGCAGGGACACCCACCTTTAGATGAAGGTTCTCCCTTCCTCAGCTTTCCCAGAGAGATGGGGAAACCACTCCATAACCCCAGCTGACAGGGGCTTACCTAGCAAGTGCATTTAGAGAGTAAAGCAGATTACAAACACCATGGGCTGCCACTCTGCTCCTTGCACCTGATGGATGCTTCCCACTGGAGACTGGCCACCTCTGTAATCCAGACTTAAGATCATTAAGAACAGAGTGCATTTATAACTAATTTAGGTGCAGGATTAGGTGAGGGACACATGGCAGTCATAGAATCACAAAATGGTTTGGGGTGGAAAGGACCTTAAAGTGATCCAGTTCCAACCCCCTGCCATGGGCAGGGACACCTCACACTAAGCCATGTCACCCAAGGCTCTGTCCAACCTGGCCTTGAACACCACCAGGGATGGAGCACTCACAGCTTCCCTGGGCAACCCAATCCAGTGCCTCACCACCCTCACAGGAAAGAACTTCTTCTTTATATCTAATCTAAACTTCCCCTGTTAAAGCTTGAACCCATCACCCCTTGTCCTATCACTACAATTCCTAATGAATTGACCCTCCCCAGCATCCCTATAGGCCCCTTTCAGACACTGGAAGGCTGCTCTGAGGTCTCCACGCAGCTTCTCTTCTCCAGGCTGCACAGCCCCAGTGTTCTCAGCCTGTCTTCAGTCACTTCGGTCCTGGTGACTGCCAGCTCTTAAGAGAAGCAGGGTAAGGATGAGGAATCCCACCCAGCAATGAGCCAGAGTTTGCACACAGAAACGTAATCATTTGCTAAGAGCAAACCCACCGGCTTTATGCTCTTGAGCACAGGGAAGGAGAAAACTGCTTCTGCCCTGGTATTAGCACAAATATCCTACAAGCAACATCCTGATGGCCAGCCCTTGCGTGCCGTGCCTCCTCGCCACCGGCTCCGGAGATGTCAGACAGCATTAGAGACTCAAAGGGAAACCACGGCTGACGTTAATGTTGATGGTGGAAGCTTAGCTTCATCCACCCTTTTTGTTTGTGCCGTTCACTTCCTCTCCTGGGAACTGTTTGTGATTGTCTCTCCCAGGCTGCTCTCTCTGCCCAAGTTTATTGTTTGGTTCTGCTGTCCTGGCCATTCACTGCCTATTGTCAGCCTCTTGGGGACACCAGCAAAGGAGCCAACGAGAGAGATAAACCTGGCCTGCAGCTCCAACAGCACTGGGTTATTACTGACTGGGGAGAAACAGATGCTCAAAGGCATAAGAATGAAAGAGACATCACACCATGACAGGAACAGGTCACAATACCGCAAATCAGTGCCACGCTCCCAAGAAAGCCTTTGCTGCTCCTCTTCAGTGGTGTAACATAGCTCAGCCATGAGATCTTTGATTCTGGATCCCAAATGGAGATCCTTTAAAGGAAGCTGTTCTCAAAAGCAGCACATTCAGCCCTTCTGAGGTACCACTAATGTCCCCTTCTGAGATAACACGTTGGTCCCCAAAGGCTTCTCAGACTGTGTACTCTAAATCACTCCTGACGGCTGCTCCTGGCATGGCCATTACAGATCTGGTGCTAAGCAGATGGATCAGAACTGTCCTCAGATGTGTTTAGTAAGCGAAGAAACACCCTCCCTCCAAGCAGTGGGATCTAATCATTACAAAGAGGCTTCATCCAGCATCTTAAAGGAAAGGATACTCCTTACCCCCTGCTTCCCTCTTTCCCCATTCAAGTAAAAGTGCAGTTCTCCACTGTCATGTCACAAAAGGCAGCATCTCTCCCACATGTTTTTCCTCCACAATAAATAAATCTCAATCCTCATGGAAAATTAGGGATCTGAATATTTACTTTCAGGCAGCTGCACTACCTATAACAGACAGATACTAGGAAAAAGTGAAAAGATGCTGTTTGTCTAGAGAAGACTGAATCTAAATCATTACCAGCATTTCCCTTCCAATACCCTAGCTTAAAAAACAGCAAACACACTGGGAACCTTCCCACTATATTTCTTCAGCTAAAGGACCCTAAAGCAGTGCAATCCCTAGGGGATGATGAGCCCAAAGGTGGAAATGGAAGTGACAAACCAGACAGGGCTGGGAGCTGAGGGAGCTTGGGAACTGCTGATGCTGCACTCCTGAGCATTAGTTAAAGAGGTGGATGCACATGATGAAGCCCTCATCTGCATGCCTGCTCCTTTTGACCCATACCCAGTGACTGCTGGCTCTGGCAGCACCACAAGCCACATTTCCCCACGCATGAAAGACTCCTGGACTGTTTCTCAGACTTATTAGGCACAAACAGGCTTTTCATCGTCACCAGTCATGCGTGCCTGCTCCCTCCTCATCCATCATCCCCACCAAGGCGCTCTGCCCGCTGCCAGCAGCATGCCGTGCCCAAGTCCCCTTCCTAAAGACAGGCTGTACAAGGGGCACAGCACCAGCTGCTGTGCAAACTGTCCCTGCCCCACACACAGGAGAGCAGAAGAAGGGGCATTATAAGAAAGCTTTGGGTTATGATGATCTGATGGCTGTGGGATGCTTTCTGCTGCTTGCCTTTGAAGAACTGAGTTGAAGCTGCAGCCTGGGGATGGTTAAGTGGTCGGCAGCAGGATTTGTCTTGGGGACAGGGAAAGACACTGGCCTGTCTGGCAGAATTTGTTTGTTCAGGGTGAGGAATAAGGCTACATGCAGAGAGGATCTGGGAAACCCTGGAGATTGAAGGAGAAGGTCAGAGAGCTGAGAGTGTAAAACCGGTGGTGGGTGCATTGCAGAGACAGAGGAGGCAAGGGCAGGGCAGGGCAGCAGGGAACAGAAGAGCAGGCGACTGGGGACAGGACAAGGCAGCAGATGGCAGGAGGCTCAGGGTGACAGGCAGAGCATGGGGAAGTGCTGGGAGCATGATGACAGCAAGGGAGTACATATGGATGTGCTGGATGTGCCTCCAAGCCATTGGTACCTCTCCTCACTGCAGCCACTATGGACCCCGACTACTCATGTTAGAAACCTGACTGGTGCCAGTGAAAAACCCACTTATGCCCATGCTTCCATCTGATGACTCCAGTGGCACCAGCACCACTGCTGGGGCTGTAACAACCTGCTGATGCTGCTCCCCTTCTGCTGTGACCCAAAAGCAGGCTCCTCTGCCTCTCCTCCCTTGAAGTGAGCTGGAGAGAAGGTGCAGGCAGTGCCCAGGGCCCTTTGGGAGCAGGAATGGCCAAATTAGTTGGAATGAACTGAAAGCACACAAAGAGCAGCAGGATTTACTGCCTGGCCACCTAATCCTGCCACTTAGGACGGAGCCACTTGAAGTCACAGCGTGTGACAGAATGACCAAGCAATGAGGACAGGATTACAGAGCCCCAAATCAGATTATGCTCCTTGATGGGGACACAAGCTGCTAGGGACAGGGAAAGGATCTGTGCTGAGCACCTTGCGGGGTGTAATAAGAGCAGATACCCAGTGCTGTCTGCTTAGAGAGCATCAAAAATAGACTCTCTGGAGAGGGAAAACACCCAAGTGAGCCAAGCTGGGCAGCGCCAGGGTACCTGGAACACTGACAGCTCCTCAGCCTGTGAAATGAACTGGCACAGGTTTGTGCCAGCATTAGCACAAATGTGGCTTCAAAACAAAGCAGAGCAGGAGGGAGGGGAAGGGAGCCGAGCCTGCAGTTGGCTAGCTAAAACTGAGGGCTATTTAAGAGAGAAAGGTGAAAGGGCCAAGGGATCAGAGGTTAGGAAGCTGTGGCTGTGCTTGCAGCATCTTAGCCTGTAGTAAATGTACAAGCAGCAGTCTGCCGCACGCAGATGCAGTCAGAGAGCCAGCTGCATTGTGCTACACAGATAAATAGGTGATGGATAAAATGAGTGGCTAAAATAAAAGATAGAATGAAGACAGGGGCCTTGCCCTAAGATCTTACCATGAAAGATGAAAGATCATGATGGATGAGGACGATGAGTTAGCACAGCTCAGGGAAAGCAGAGGACAGGGCTCTGCACAGTGAGAAACATGTCTCCAAGTACAGGAGCCTTTAGAGTTTAGCCAGTTCACTGAGAACAGGTTTGGACAGAGGACTCTTCCAGCCCAGCAGCTCTTTGTGTATTTGCCACTAGAAGATGCTGATTTGCAAAGTCTGAGGGTCCATTTCTTAGTACAAAAGCATCTTTGCCTTGCCCATTAATCCAAGTGAAGCAGCAAGTGAAGACAGATCCTCACATTCACTCACTGGTAAAAGCCATGCTTTCCACGGGAGCTGCAGGAGCTCAGTGCTTCTGAAGAGGTGGTCATCTCTATATGATAGGTTCTATCTATAGGTTCCAGTTTTAACACAATCCATTAAAGGCTGAAGCCAAACGAACCTGAAGCCCTCACTTTCCCATCTGCACTCAACACTTACCACAGGTTAGCAGGATGGGACAACCAAGATGAGCCATAGGAATAATATTCTCTTCCCTTCCTCCTTGGAAACTCCTCCCTAGGGACAGCACTGCAGTCTTGCCTAGCATCTGTCTGCTTAAAGTGCCTTCAGATAGACATTTAAATGTCTCTCATGCAGCATAATCCATCGCTGTCGTACCACCTTCTCAAGTGAGCAAGTGAAGGCGTTGACATACATTAAACAGCAGCTGAAAACCAGGGCAACAAACCCTGCTACCACCCCTACCTGCTCATATCTCTTGGGAAGGGCTTCCTTCATAGCAGGGACAGCTAAATAGAGACACATCCATGCCTGACTAGTCACATTTCACATGCTGAATAGCTGAGGAACCTCAGCTCAGCTTCTGTGCTGCAACACATCGCCCGTAAATCACAGCCATTCAGCTCTGCCTGCCCCAAACACAACAGATTCAGCCTGAGAAGGGCAGGGGACAGAAGCTGCATTAACCACTCCTGACTATGACACCATGAAGAGTGTAAATGCATTAAGGGTGTGGTTGCACGAGCAGCAGAGCTGATCTATCTGCTTCACAGCACCAGCATCTTGCTTTCTTTTCCTCGGGCAGTACTCTTCACAACACAGTTCCATCCCTTCCCTTGTGCTGGCTCAGGCATTTGAGCCTCATTTTGGGGCTCAAAAAGCAGCATTCCCTTTCCTTCTCTTTCTGGATCAGCCTTGTGATACATTAGAGAGAACCTGAGGAGGTCCAAAGAGCTGATGCACAGTAATACACTGGGAGCAGGAGCATCACCCCACTTTGGAGGAGGAAAGCTGTCAGATCAGCTCACCCTGTCTCTTGGATCTGCACCCTAAGGCACACAGAAGCAAACAACCTGCTGGAGGCCACACACCAAAGCAGTGAAGGAAGCCAGGAGTCCCATTTCCCCTCACATATTCAGGGTAATCTAAATGTCAAGGCTGAAGCAAAGACATGAACAGCCCTTTGTTGTAAAAATCAATCCATCCATCCAACAACCTCTCAATCTCCTTAACAGCTCATTTCCCCCTCCCCAAAGCAGTGGCCAGGGAAGACTCCTCTGGTCCATTCACAGGGTGCAATATCTCTCAGTTGAGGCTGGCAGATGTGCCACACAACAATACCACACAAGTCATAGCGTTGCTTTCTTCCACCACTGAATGGGGAGCTTCATTCATACAAAACAATGCCTTCCTTGTACCCTGGAGACTCTTCTCCCTTCTACTCAGCTTCCCATTGCCACTGGAGCCCCATTCCAAGGCAGTGAGGTTGTGGAGAACATCAGAAAAGCAGAACAGTGGGAAGAACCATGGTGCTGACTGCTTGTTCAGGCTGAAGGCAGGGTGAGATGAACAGGTTGGCACTGGGGGTCTGAGCATCTCAGATTCAGGATCTACCCAAACAGGAGCCAGAGTTCCTTCCGGATTCACACACAGTTTCTCACTCTGGCCTAAAACCAGCTCTAGCACAAAGAATCTGCAGTACCTCGTAGGAAGGGGCTTGGAGCAAAGGCAGTGCTGCAAAACTGGCATTCCCAGGGCCTATTTATGTCCATGAAGGGACTTCTTTGGGCTTACATAGCAGCAGCAAAAGTGTTAAGTGTCATGGAAGCATCACACACACGTTGCTTTGTTAGGCTTACAATACATAGGGTTCGGTCCAGGTTTGGATTAGCTTCCAGTCCCTGGGTTAGCAGAGCCTGATCACTGAGGAGCAAACAGGTCAGGAGAAGAACTGAGCCATGGCTAATAAACACAGGCTGCACAATGCTTGGCAGGGAAAAGGAAGGCAATTTGGGGGTTTTCTTTGGAAAAAGGTATATCCTTGTGATCCTACATGTGCATGGCACACCCCATGGGCACCCCGCTTCTGTAGTACCTTGCATTCAACATGCTCTATAGACCTAATGGTATTTGGGCTCCTAAGGACGTATGATGTGTTTTTTACAGAAGGCAAGGCCAAGACATACTAAAATAATGGGCCTGGGGTCATATGAAAAGCATTTGAAGAGGAAAATAACTTTTACAGATTTTTCCTAATACAAGTGCCCTTAAGTTTCTAATATCCTTCTGCAAGAGGTGTTGTATCTGACTGTACAAAAGCCGTACCCTTTTATACAAGTCTTGCCCCCAGAACACAAGGGCACAGTGGCAGTGCACATTTACCCTGAGCCATGCTAATCCATGGCCAGACAGCAGGACCACAAAATGCAGTTATCAAGTCCTCGCAGCTTTTATGCAAGCAAGGAAACAGAGATAACAGCTATTTTCTGGTACTGGCCCTAAGCCAGGAACTGAGTACAGGATGCACCTCCTCAAATGAGACCACTCATCCAATATCCTTCTCCAAAACTAATGCCACTTCCCATTCACTCTTACATAAACATGTCTCCAGAGGATTATATACTGGGTATGTTATGTGTAAGCCTTGCAGATGAACTTTGAGCCTTCGTAGATCACATCTGCTCTCTGTCAGTACTCACATTAGCCAGGGCTTCCCAACGATTCAGCATAAGAACTGAAGAACTGGGGTGCAGGAGGGCTTTCCCTTCACCACAGAAGGTACCCACCAAAAGAAACAGATTTCCCTGGCAGGGCACTAACTGTGTGGTGAACATACCAATCTTCCATGGAAGCACGCTCCTGTTTTGCCAGTGAAAAGGAAGAGCACAGGTTGTGATGAACAGAACTCCTAATGCTGTCATTTGGGTATTGACACTTAAGTAAGTGCAGTCTTAATCCTGCATTCCCAACTCCTGCAGGTTGGCCATCACCACACTTACTGTCGTCATCCCAAGAGGCTCCTACGTGGCTGGTGAATGGGAGACTGGGAGGCCTGATCAAAACCAGTGAGAGGATCCCTTCCCATCTCTCCCCCTCCACAGTGTGGCTGCTGGTGGTGATGGATGCAGCTGAGATGCTCATGTGTGACCATCCTGACCCGCACCTTTACCTTCGACGCTGCCATGACGGCTGCCGTGGCTGCGACGTTCAGCCCCCGCTTCCCAAAGTGGACGAGGGCATCGTAGCTCCGGTCTTTGGCCTGGACAAGGCAGTCATCGATCTCCTGTCACAGCAAACAACAAAACAAGCAAACAATAAGGCAAAGGAAGGGCAAGTTCAGAGTGTTCCAAGCCTTGAACTCTTGGCAGGGCCATGGCATCTTTTATGGAGGTAGATACCATGGGTTTCCTTCACCTTGGCTGGAGACAAGCTCACAGCCAATGTTTGCAAAGACAAAAGGTTTGCAGAGGAGCAGTAACTCCCACTGCAGGCTTTGGGAACTCGTTATTCTGCAAATGGAAGATTGGGATCCAAAGTTGGGATACACTTGCACAATGTGCAATGACCATCAGTGGGCCTTGGAAACGAGACAGACACATCGACCTGGGCAGAATGGACCAGGAGCCATTTGCAATCTATGGACTCTAAAGACAAATTGCCTTGCCCCATAGTTGTAAAGAAGTGTATTATAACACTGGGCAGATGAAGCTGTACTGCTCTGCAGCCAGGACTGGTGGTCTCAGAAGTATCTGAGTCGTCTCTTCCATCACTGCAGCGGCCAGCTTCAACATACCCATAGACTTGGTAGGTCCAGAGCTCCTGGATTTCATGCTACTCGATATACAGTGAAATGGTTATGAAAGTTCCTGCCCTCACCTTCCCTCCCTCAAGACATAGGGGTCTGGATGACAATGGGTGACAATGACTTCTAGTACTGGGTGCTGGATGTGCTGGGTTAGTGGGGATCGGAGGCCATGAGAAGCTGCTGGCTGTGTACCGATTCCTTCCCTATTCCGAGTAGATAAGAGGTGGCAACTCAAAATGCACAAGCACTGCTTTTGAAAAGCAGAAGCTCCCAGGATGCAGAGAGACAAGGGATCGATCCCCACTGTCCTCCTTGGACAGGACTGAGATACAACTGCTCACGCACTGCCTGTGGCTAAACAGAGCTTTCATTTCCATACTTGCCAATGCAGGAAACAGTTATTCACTTCTCTGTAGCCTGCATGTTGGTATGTGACTGATGGCTATTCTTGGCCCATGCATTCCCATAAGCCCTGACAATGTCCCATTCACAGCCACAGGAATCTCTTAGCCAGGTGAATGATCTAAGCTGTATTGCCTCCCCCGAAGACATTTCTCAACCCAGGGCCTCAGCGCGCTGCATGCCTTGCTTCAGCAGGCTATATAGTGCTTGCTAAGCCTGGTTTAGACAGGCTGGGCTATTTGTTTTAGTGCTGCACAATGTTTTAGGCAAGGAGCCCTGGCTGCCAGCCCCTGTTTCTCTGTTACACCCAGCCACAGCACAGCACTCGGCTATATCCAGCCAGTACGTGCAAGGCAGCTCAGGAGGTATTTTTATCCCCCTCACTCCCAACGTCTCAAGTGCACAAAGATGAGTTAATACGTGTGAGTGTGCTGAACAGATGCCAGTACTGAAATACTCAACAAAGAAAAAAACCACCAACCAAAGGAGATGGTCAACTGATAGGGGAAGAGAACTGGCAACTCCCAGTCCTTCAGTGAATATGAGTGACAGGAAGACTGGAGTAAACACATTGCAGATCTGCTCCATCCAGGCACCTGTGATTACCTTTTCTTTTGAAGACAGTGTTGGATGAACAAATTTCCTGTACAGGAGGCTGGAGCCTTTTGTGTATGGAGACAGCAGCCAAGCTACAAAAGCTATTTTGAGTTCATAGTAGAATGGAAACCTAAGAGAAAAAGAGCTATTAGTGTCCACTCCCAATATAACCACTGCCCCTGGAGATGCTCAGCACAGGAAGGTTCTGGCCAGTCTGGTTAGGGAAGCTTTTGCTTACTGAAAAGTCCAAAGACCAGAATACATCCACTCACCTTTACAGACATCTCAACTAGCATGTGGGTAAAGCTTTACTTGGGTATCAGGGCCATTATTTAATGGTCTGAAAGAGACTCTGCTGTGTGATAAGAGGACCTCTCTATAGGCAAAGAGCACAGATGCTGCCTTCATAGCATCCCCAGTCATTATGAGGGAGCAAAGAGCAAACCAGAAAATCAATGTTTCATTGATATACTTATGTACCTTTCATCTCTCTGCCTTTCTGCTTTTAAGATAACACTTATCTGCCTGAAACTGGAATACAAGAAACTTTGCTGCCCAAACAACATGCAATATAAAGGTGCAGATCTACACTGTGGCTTTCAGGTAGCATTGTAAAGTACACAGGAGACTAACTGGCAATAGGACAAGCTTTAGCTGTAACATCAAGCCAAGGACTTCTTGGGATTAGATGATCCAAACTCTCTTTTGGAGGACAAAGCCTAGAGCTCAAGGTTGGCCAGCAAACAGCATCCTCATGTGATGAACAAATGGTACCCTTCGCAGGCAAGCAAGAGCAACACAGAGCCCCATGATGGGTGTGCAGCTGGACCCAGACTGTGCACAGCACCATCACTGAGCCAGCTGGGCCATACAGCTCCCAGGTCTGGCCCAATGGGCCTCTGGGATGCTCCACTCCAAGCATGGATGTGCCAGGTTGGTCTAACACCTCCCTGAGGATCTCTGCAGCATACTTGATTTCACAGGCTGGATGAGCCCTCTGTCATTCCTCCTGAGACCCACATAACACATCCTCCAAAAACAGAGCTCCAGATGAACACAGTGGAGGTAGATTTGCATGTAAATTAGACAGAGACACAATGATGTCTTTTACACCCTGTTAAACAGATCTGACATGTTGCCAAGTACCCCCCATTCCCTTTCTCTGAAGGACTCACTAGACGCATGCACTGCTATGCAGGAACAAGCTTTAGGTGAGGGCCATGCATTACAGTTAGACTCTCATTCTGAAGTCTGCTCATCTCACCAGTTAACACTAGAAAGGCCGTAATAAACCAGCAATGAAGCAACAAACATTTCCAAACTTGAGCGTCCAAATTTAAGGAATTAAACTCTTCCCTGTGAGGGTGCTGAGGCGCTGGCACAGGGTGCCCAGAGAAGCTGTGGCTGCCCCATCCCTGGCAGTGTTCAAGGGCAGGTTGGACACAGGGGCTTGGAGCAAGCTGCTCCAGTGGAAGGGGTCCCTGCCCACGGCAGGGCTTGGAGCTGGATGAGCTTTAAGGTCCCTTCCAATACAAACCATGCTGTGACTCTGTGATATGAGTCTATGAAGCTGATAATTGGGTATTTATGTGCTCTTATCCTGACAGAGGTCACCAGGAATCCTCTACTGGTATCAGAGCTCACATCAATATGGACTGTCACTGTCCTCCATCAAACCATAAACCTAACCAGGAACTGGACTGGTTAGGCTGGAATGGGAAAACATCCCAGGAGCAACCACTCATGCAGCAACCTACGGAGTCCTGTGCTTCAGGGCTGTATCTACCTGGTCCCTACAGTCTGTGTATGTACTGTAGGACACAGGTAAGCCTAGAACTACACCTGTAGCTAAAGCTGCTGTTGTTTAGGTGATGATGTGTGCAAGCATCCAACTCAACAATCAGCCTCTCTGACATGCAGGGGACAACCTCCTGTAATGATTTCGCACTAATGAGATCTCACTGAGCAATTCCATCTTCTTTCTTGCTTTCCCTGTGGCAGCACTGAGGAAAGAAGCACAGCTCCTCCAGACAAAACACCTCTATGCACCTGAAGCTGCGAACCCCATGTTCAGGAAGCAGTGAACCTTTTGTGCCCCTTTTTTACCTCACTTTTACAATCTTCATTCTCTTTCCAGCTCATTGCAAAGACCCTCTCCCGTGTGGTGCTCACCAGCATAGAAAGATGTCCGTGAATGTCTCTGCTGTCGTGAAGAGCGCAAATATGATCCAGTACATCATCCATTTGACCTGATAAGCAAAACCAGAGTCAGTTCATTCTCCCCCAAGGGCCTTGAACTATCTCTTAGAGGCACAAGTGCAGAGTAACTCCCACAGAAAAAGTGTTCTGGTTCTTCCCACCTCCCCCTTGTGTGTTTAACAGTTACTATGGACTTGAAGATGTGCAAAATGCCCCACCTCAGCACATAACACATCAGATTTCCACACAAGTCCTTGGGAAGCAAGAGATTGTGGCCTTTAGGACTGGTCTTATGAAAAGAAGAGCAGTCTGGCTCTGCCCTTAGTATCACAGCCCTATCACAGGGCATTAACAACCTCACTTGGCTCATCTTAACAAAGGTGAACACTAGGGTGTTGGCCATACTGCAATGAGGACAAACTGTATTTGCTTGCATAACATCTACAAACAGGGGAAACCAGCCAGGGATATATAAAGAGGTAACTGCCCATCCCACGATCCAGGGCTCAGGGGCACAATCAACTCACCCCAACTTATTGAATCAGTGCGCATCACTTGGCGGTGCCTCCTCACATCCACACTCTGAGCACACTGCAGTGACAAGGGCGAGTGAATCACCTTAAATCCCTCACCCGGGGCTTGGGTGAGAGCATTTCACCTCATACTGGTAGTAAAAACACACTTTGTGCTGTCAGTGTTCAACTATGGTAACTCCAGTGTGGCGTGCACTGCTTGATGGATGATTTATGGATGAGCTCCTTTGTGGTGATAGCAACAGACACAGAAAGAGTGCTTGGGGGCTGTGAGTTGGTCAGGGAAACTGTAGGGTCTTGAGTAATTCAGGGATCTGGGGATTTTTGTCACTAAATGGCATTTAAAGCCCAGCTAAACTCTTCTGATGGAAATCAGTCAGAGAATTGGACCCAAGTGTTACCTAAGGCTGGGATAACTGCAGTAGAATAAGGGAAAGAAGGCAGTACAAGGGGGATGCCTACACCGAGTGCTGCTCTGGGGAAGGAAGGATGGAGGTGGCGATAAATCTGTATCTCACCAGCTCTGAAATGGCTTCTTCCATCCCCTCCCCAGTGCACTGGGGACAGTGCCTGTAGTCTCTCTCCACTCCCTGCAGGTACTGAAATAATTCCCTGAGGAATTGTCACCACATAGAGCTATAGAACTGCTCTCCTGGGACTTATTTATATGTATATTTGGTGTGACAGCAGTGGAATGGCTCTGTCAGATGCCCAAGAACATTGCCTTCCCAGGGCAACTTCTGTCAGTGTTTTCCACATAACTCAGAGCCTCAGTTGGACATTCCTGCCAGCCAGACTTCAACACAAACCAAGACCTGGTGTGAAAGGGCTCGGATCAGCCTCAAACACCATTTACCAAAATGGCTATTCCTAGTCAATGGCAGTGATCTCATCCGGAGGAAGAGATGAAGGTTTGTACTGGGTCAGTGTAAAGTGCCACTGCTTCGGGTTATTTCATCAGACACCAACAGAGGTGCTGCCCCAACTGAGAAAGGACTGTAAGTGCAGAGCAGGTCTCACACTTGAGTCATGACCCCATGTGTGTGGTGTGAGTTCTTCGTTTGCAATTGAATTCCCAACAGGAATTGGACCCTTCAGCAAAATACTTTCCAGAAAGGGGCTATGGAAACATTAAGTATCAGTGGCAGACACTGCTTGGGGATGCCAGCACACGTCTCCACCCTTTCCAAGCAAAGGATGTGCAACCCTTGAGCAGCAAAGCTGTGCAGGGGCTGCAGGGACATTTTGCTGTAGGTATCTGATGTGTTCTGCAACACTTAATGATTCTCAGAACATCCCAACCATTAACTGAAGGAGGGTATTGAGAGAAAGGGAAAATCTCAGCGGTCACAGTGAGTCCCTGTTTGAGCTGGTGCAAGGACTTCAAGGGATACCCATCTGTGCTGTTAGCCAGAGGAGAAAATGGGCTTGTTATCCTTGGGATCTTGAGAGGATGGAAGAGTCAAGACCTGGAGGCTGAGTCAGGTTCAGTGTAACAGAACTCAGGTTGTGAGGGGCACTACAAACCCAACAGGAGACCAACAGCATCCAGGTGGGTTTGATTCTCCCACATCGCACTTTCCCTTGGTAGCCCCATATGCCTTTACAAACTGGGCCCAGGGAAGATCTTTCAGCCAGAGGATGAGGCAGCACAACCAGATCTGCCTGTAAATAGGTCACTCCACATAGAAAGATGTTTCCATCTGAGGGCTGAGTCCTATGTGCTTCAAGTTTCCTCCTCTGATCCTTGCTTTGAATGAGCAGCTCAAGCTTCAAGGCTTTTTAAAAAGGCTTTGATTTATGCTGCTCTTCAGAAACAAAAGGAAAGCTCTGCGTGCCAAACACCTTTTAAGTTGACCATATTTAGCTCACAACACCATAGAAACAGCATACATTTGTCAAAGAGCACATCAACTCAGCAGAGGAGCCAGAAGCACAAACCCAAGTCTCCTTATTTGAGCCTTGTGCCAGTCCATCTTCACGCCACTCTTCCCCTTGCACTGGTTTATGAGCTTTCCCAGTATACAGGCAACACCTTCACAAAGTGAGCCCCAAACCTCATTACTCACGTATTCTTTGATGTCCTTTGATTTCACGGCTTTGTAGGAATAATATGCGGGGTAAAGAGTGCCAAATATAAGCCTGGAAAAAACCAAACAACAAATGGATTAGATTGATTTCCTGTCACAGGGAAACCTTTAATTTCTTTTTCCTGTCTGTTAAATGTGTTTGTTGCACTGTAAGAAGTGCGAGGATTTGATTCAAGCTTGAGTGCACTCAGTACAGTACAGGGATGATTTTGCTTCACTAAATTCAGATAAACTATTGCCAGAGACATGAATGAGGAGCAGGGATTCAGGCTGACTCCCCTTTTGCAATGGTTTCCATAGCTGTACCTTAGTATTACATACAAAACAAAACATCCAACCCCAAACCAAACCAAGAAAGGCCACCGACCTCATGTGATTTCCAAACAGCCCCCTGTGAAACCAGGAATACAGGGGCTCCTAATGAGAATCATCTCTCTACATTCCCTTCCACCTCTGTTCAATACCCCTAAGAACTGGCAAACACAATAAAGCAGGATCCAAGTTCTGCTGGCACAAGGGGTGTGAATGCTGGGGCCTTATCTCTTAGCAGGGGGATTGGACTAGATGATCTCCAAAGGTCCCTTCCAACCCTAATGATTCTGTGATTAAATCTGCTGCAGGGAAAAGCCCTGCCCTGTTTGGTGAAGTCAATTTGGGCTCAAAGGAGGAGAATTTGCCCACCAAGATGTGCCAATGGGCCTAAAAATGCCAGCTTTCCTGTTCTTTCAGTTTCCTTTCATTTCCAAGTCTGAAAGGGATGCTGCCAGCTTCAAGAGTCATGTAAGAAAGGAATAGGGATCTGTAGGTTAAAAATAGCACTACTGAGAAGAGAACACTGGGAGGTTTTCTACACGAACTCCTCTCTGCATCACTGCCTAAATGCTTATTCACTTGGATTATTCTGGACATGAGCATAGGCTTGTCAAAACCACTCTGCCCTGCCCAGGGTTCAGTCACTTTTATTCAACGCAGCAGGATGATGCTGCAAAGTCTAGATGTAATAGACTGCAGGGGAATGTTTATAGGCTCCCAACCTTTCCATGGAAGCTTCTGCTTTAAACTCATACATCTGGATTTGCAGCTCTTGGGAATGGAAATGATCAACGTTTCAATCCCTAATGGTGGAGCCTCATGGATCCGCAGTCATCTTTTGCAATTGCGTGCTGTGGGACTCATAATTACAGCTGGGTCCATTATGTGCCTAAGACATTAAATATTAACACCCTGGGCTATGGTGTACCTCGTGCTTCCCAGAGCTGGAGAAGGGATTTGTGGAAGCCTGGGGCGAGCCAGCACACATCCCTATTTCCATAGCAGTGACCTGCGCTCCATCATGCTTACTGTAGCATAGCTTAGAGAACCTGAAGCACGGTGCAGACTGCAGTAAAGCACTTACTGAGTGAGGAGAGTCAGTGTTTTACTGAGGCTTCACACTGGCTTCAAAAAGCTTTGCTGGAAGCAGGCAGCTCTGAACCCATTTCACTGTGCTGTATGCAAGGATTAGATCCAAATGCTCACATTCTGGGAAGCCAAGAGCATTTTTGTCCCTTGTTGTATCTTAACAGCACCACTGGTGAAGGCGAGGAAGAACAGACAGGGAATAGCTTGATCCTGTTCTCACTGAAGCCACTAGCAAATATCCCCTCTGAGATCAGTGGGAGCAGGACCTAATCCAAAGGAGGCAGAGCTCACAAAAGGAAGAAGGCTCTATAATATTCAGCAAGCACACGAATAACATTTTTGGCTCTCCTTATAAGTACCGCGTTTCTGTCCTTCCTCCTTGGCTTGGCTGCTATCTCACGCTTTTATTTCCTGCAGAGTCACTGAGTGATTGATATTCATTTCCTCAGTTTGTTCCAGTAACAGAAAGCAACTGGATCCTGAAGGAGCAAACAGTTTACAGGCTCCCTGGAAAAGGATTAGTCGCAGACAATAAGTGCTTGGAACAGAACCCGGTGAGGGTATGAAACCGTGCAGTGATTTTGCATCTGTGGAGCAAGAGGCAGTAAATAAGGTGATGTGTTCTCCCTAAATTGGAGACTGAGGGTTTCACTCATCTGCCCTGCAGTGCTGTGTTCATATATGGGCATTTATCACTGCTGTGCTTTACCACAATGAAAACAGTTCAAGGAATGCTGGATTCCAGTCTTGTCACTGCTGGGGCTTATTATGTGGCCTGAAGTCCCTTAACCTCTGGGTACTGCCTACAAATGAAAGACAAAAGATGTTTAGGCACTTCTGTGAAGAATTTTCAGGGGTTGGAGGCAAACACCTGCACATAGGCCTGCTCCAAAACACCTCCTGAAGTTACTGTTTTGCATACAATTGATTTAATTCAAACATCTATCTTAATCCTATCTCTTCTTACAGCTCCTCTCCCTACTGAGGACAATGCTTCTCTCTTCCCCTTCATCCAAGCGTCCTATGTAATCAGTTCCCATTGATTCCTGCCTTCCTTCATCCCCATGCTCTGACTGTTGCCAGATCATTCCTTCTGCATGCAATACACAAACCCAAGGCTGATTCTCTGCCCAAGCCACTAAGCCATTCCTTGTCTAAGTCTCCTTCCCAGCCTCTTTCGTGTAGACTCTGCCTCACCACAGAATCACAGGGTGGTTTGGGTTGGAAAGAACCCTAAAATCACCCAGTTCCAGCCCCATGGAGGTCTGCATCCATTATAATGGCCTTGCAAAAGGACAAAACAGCAGCTGTAGAGAAATCACTGAGGAGTCAACTAATTGTGCAAGAGGAGGCAAACATCTAAGTAAAAGGTTAGTCTGCCTAAAGAACAGGATAAGGATTAGTGCTGACAATCTTCTAATCCTATTAGGCGCAGCAGTAATCCCCAATCTGGACCACAGTGTGTGCTTCTGGTCACTGCTTGTCAAAAGGGACACAGCAGAGGCAGAAGGGGAAGGGAGAAGGGCACCAGGGAAGGTCTGTAAGAGTGAGACTGCAAGTGCTGCAGTTGTTTCTTTGCAGCGAAGAAAGAACTGAGGTGATCTGCTCCTGATGCAGTGTAAGGGAATGTTCAACTGGATCGAGAGAACCAAGTCATAAAGGAGGGGAGAAACCCTTTCTACCACCAGGAGTTAATCTGTGGGACTGACCAACTGTATTCATTTATGTAAGTTCATTACATAGGATCTGGGGATGGGGTTGGTTTTCACTATTCAAGGCCATCACTGAATGAGACAGGAAAGGACAAAGCTTCCCGTTTTCTGGGCTTTCCTGGTTATCAGGGGAATATTAAAGCAACCGAACTCTTGGCTCCTCTTCAGCGATCCCTGTCATATTCCAAGGGAGCAGCTGCACCACCACCAAACCCCCTCCTGTCTCTACTTAACCAGTACAGCTGCAGCCAGCCCTGGCTATTATATTCCTTCTCCAGATCTGTTGGTGCATGATCTGACCATCACAGAGCACAGGCTAACCCAGATCAGACTGGTTTGGGTTGGAAGGGACCTTAAAGCTCATCCAGTTCCAACCCCTGTCATGGGCAGGGACCCCTTCCACTGGAGCAGCTTGCTCCAAGCCCCTGTGTCCAACCTGGCCTTGAACACTGCCAGGGATGGGGCAGCCACAGCTTCTCAGGGCACCCTGTGCCAGCGCCTCAGCACCCTCACAGGGAAGAGCTTCTGCCTAAGAGCTCAGCTCAGTCTCCCCTCTGGCAGGTTCAAGCCATTCCCCTTGGCCTGTCCCTACAGGACCTTGTCCCAAGCCCCTCTCCAGGTTTCCTGCAGCCCTTTTAGGCACTGGAACTGCTCTAAGGTCTCCCCAGAGCCTTCTCTTCTCCAGGTTGAACAAACCCAATCTGACACAATTCCTACCAATATCTAGGTTCTAGCCTGAGGATCAGCATCAGAGCTGCCACCAGGACCTGGGAGGGCCCCATTTGACATCTTGAGTTCTGATGGTTTGGTGATGCTCTTTTCCTCATGAGAGCCCTGGTCCTACAGCCACTTCCCTGTAAAATTCCCTCCCACATTCCATACAGCAGCCACTGACATAAATGAAGTACTCTCAATGGTTCTCAGGACTCAGGTTACCTCCAGAAGTGCATATCCATTCTCTTGAGTATTTTTAACCACACAGGTGCTTTGTGGCTGGTAATCCACTGCTCCAAACGTGCCGACCACATCCCAAACCGTCCAAGCTCTGCTCATGTAGTTACCATGCCACCAACAGCGTTTGGGCTGCCCAAATATCACAGTACCACATCACGAATAGAACAGCCCTTGTTTTGCCCATCGATAAACTAATATTTCCATATCATTGGCACACAGCAGCCAAGATGGCAAATTCCTGCTCACAGGGGTGGCCACATTTAGGAATCACTGAAATATTGCCTATTTCCTCAACATGTTCACTGGCTATCGCGTGCTTCCCGCGCACGGAGCAGCAGCTGAGCTGTCAGCATGCCAGCATTCCTCACTGGAACCACCGAGGAGGGTGCCAATAGGTTTGCATTCCTTATCAGCAATCCTAATTAATGCTCACACAGTGCCACAGATTAAATATAAACAGCACTTATCTGCACCAAAGGTTCCCAGTTTAAAGCCAGCAGCTGGGATGGGAAAAGCAGCAGTGCACAAGGTCAGGGATAGGGTTAACGTGAGTCCTTTGACAGGTCAAATGCCTGACATCCAAGAAGGGAATGGGGTGGAGGAAGCACCAGCTGCAGAGGGGGCTCCGGGCTGGTATTCCCTGGGGATGGCCCCTGAGGATTCTTCGTGGTCATTTTGCAGCAGAATAGGTCCTGCTATTTAGGATTTGCCTGTTCACCCTGCGGATGACGGCTGACACCATCCCCACGCTGTGGCCCAGGAGATGTGGGTACCCACGATGCCAGCCTGATACACTGAGGATACCAACAGCACATGGTGCCTCAGTGGCAAAAACACCCCCCAAGGAAGGTGCTGGGTCCTGACACGCTTGAGACAGACCAGGCTACAGAAGCAAACTGAGCACTTGGTCTTGGTTACTGTGACCTAATGGCTGGCAAATCCTGATCACTGCTCTTGGGGTAACTGTAGACTAAAGGGATGCCTG